CGTCTTCTGCCACCAAAAGCCTCCCACCGACCGGTCCGTTCCCACAGAGAGGGTCTCCTCAGGGTGCCATCAGCCAAGTTATGTCGGCTGGCGACACCCAGGGGGAGGGCCTTCTCTGTGGGAGCCCCAGCCCTGTGGAATGAACTGCCCCCAGAAATACGTAAGATCTCCGACCTCCGGGTGTTCTGCTGCGCACTGAAGACCCTGTTGTTCCGCCAGGCAGGGCTGTCAATATAATAATTTTAAATTGGGGTATTTTAATTTTTAGGGTTTTAAATCGGCCAAATCTATTTAATTATTTTAATTTTTAATTATTGTTGTGTCTTGTGTTTTTAAATTGGCTGTACACCGCCCTGAGTCCTTCGGGAGAAGGGCGGTATAGAAATAAAATTATTATTATTATTATTATTATTATTATTATTATTATTATTATTATTATTATTATTATTATTATTATTTATTTCCATGCAATCCAATTTCTTATAAATCAATTAATTATATTTACCAATAATAATAATTTAATTTTTAATTTAATTTAATTTAATTTCCAATTTATATACCGCCCTTCTCCCTGAGGACTCAGGGCGGTGTACAGCCAAGATAAAAAACATAGAATACAAATATTAAAACATTTAAATATATATATAAATTTTGGCCTGAAAGTTAAGAATCACAAACTAATTAAAAGAATTTAAAAATTTCTTCTAAGCCAACCCGGCTTGCTGAAAAAGATAGGTTTTCAGGGAACGGCGGAAGGCATTGAGGTCATGGATTCTTCTTATCTCCAGGGGCAACTGATTCCAGAGGGTGGGAGCCCCCACAGAGAAGGCCCTCCCCCTGGGGGCCACCAGCCTACATTGTTTGGCTGATGGCACCCTGAGGAGGCCCTCTCTGTGGGAGCGCACGGGTCGATGGGAGGTCGTCGGTAGCAGCAGGCGGTCTCGGAGATAGCTAGGCCCTATGCCATGGAGCGCTTTAAAGGTGATAACCAACACCTTGAAGCGCACCCGGAAGACCACCAGGAGCCAGTGCAGCTCGCGCAGGAGTGGTGTTACATGGGAGCGCCATGTTGCTCCCATCACTACCCGCGCTGCTGCATTCTGGACCAGCTGGAGCCTCCGGGTGCTCTTCAAGGGGAGCCCCATGTAGAGAGCGTTGCAGTAGTCAAGGCGAGAGGTGACGAGGGCGTGAGTGACTGTGCACAAGGAATCCCGATCAAGAAAGGGCCGCAACTGGCAAATCAGGCGAACCTGATAAAAGGTCCCCCCGGTAACAGCCGTTAGATGTTCCTCCAAAGACAGCTGCCTATCCAGGAGGACTCCCAGATTGCGAGCCCTTTTAGTGGGGGCCAAAGACTCGCCCCCAATAGTCAGCGATGGAGTCAACTGACTATATCGGGATGCCGGGAGCCACAGCCACTCAGTCTTGGAAGGGTTGAGCCTGAGCCTGTTCCTCCCCATCCAGATCCACACAGCCTCCAGGCACTGGGACATCACTTCAAGGGCATCGTTGGGGTGGTCTGGGGTGGAGATGTACAGCTGGGTGTCATCAGCGTACTGGTGGTATCTCACCCCAAAGCCACGGATGATCTCGCCCAGCGGCTTCACATAAATGTTGAACAGAAGGGGCGAGAGGACCGATCCCTGCGGCACTCCACAGATGAGAGGCCTCGAGGTCGACCTCTGCCCCCCTGCCAACACAAACTGCGACCGGTCGGAGAGAAAGGAGGAGAACCACCGCAACACAGTGCCTCCCACCCCCAACTCTTCCAGCCGGTGCAGCATGATACCATGGTCGATGGTATCAAAAGCCGCTGAGAGATCTAATAGGACCAGAACAGAGGAATAACCCCTGTCCCGAGCCCTCCAGAGATCATCCACCAACGCGACCAATGCCGTTTCCGTGCTGAGCCCAGACCTGAAACCCGACTGGAACGGATCTAGATAGGATGTTTCCTCCAGGAATTGCGGAAACTGTTGCGCGACCACACTCTCAACAACCTTCGCAATGAAGCGAAGGTTGGAAACAGGACGATAGTTGGCCAATATTGCTGAATCCAGGGACGGCTTCTTGAGGAGAGGCCTCACCACCGCCTCTTTCAGGGCAGCGGGGAAGTGACCCTCACTCAACGAAGCATTAATGACACCCTGGAGCCAGCCTCGTGTAACCTCCCGGGAAGCCAGTACCAACCAGGAGGGACACGGGTCCAGTAAACATGTGGTCGCACTAAGTCTCCCCAAAATCCTGTCCACATCATCGGGAGTCACAGCATCAAACTCCTCCCAGATAACATTCTCAAGACTGTTCCTCGTCACCCTGCCCTGATCTACCCAGTCAGGGTCCAGATCCCCCCGGATCTGAGCGATTTTGTCATACAGGTATTGTCCGAAATCCTCCGCCCTGCCTTCTAAGGGATCCTCCCGCACTCCCAGATGGAGCAGGGCGTGGGTCACCCTAAACAGGGCGGCCGGACGATTCCCTGATGACGCAATAGAGGCGGAAAAGTAGTTAGACCAAATAATAAACCAAATAATTTCCCCCATATATTTCTCCAAAGCACAACTTAACCATTTCTGCTTTCAACACAATGTACAATTAATAGTATCTCAATTATTACAATTCCCTAGTTAAATAGAGCTTTTTTTCTTTTGTGTTTTAAAATCTTGAACTCTCCTCTTTTGCCCTAAATTTCCCATTGTTTGCACCTACCTTTTTTGGTGAGGAGAAAGAAAAAGAAATCTCTCTCCCTGCCTCATTTTGTCACCTGCTTTACTTTGTTTCCTTTTAGCTAGGGAAAAAAAAATCTGCTCCAGCACTCTTTGCAGCAAACAAGAGCTTTGCAGCAAACAAGAGCTTGCAAAGGAGCCTACAAAACAGCTGAGAGTGAATCAGCTGAGAGTCGGAGGCCAATCTAATCATGCTAATTAACCTATGCTGAAGCTAAAAGAGGCTGTTTTTTTCTTGCTGTTTGCTTGCAAGGAGGTAAGTGCTGCGAGGCACAGGTCAAAGGGGGGGGGGCACCCTCCTTGCCACTTAGCCCCCGTTACCCCCTTTGCCTCTAGCGTCCCTCTGCCGCCCCCCTTGCCGCTTACCACCCCCCTAAGGCATCCCACCGCCCCCCAGGGGACGGTACCGCCCACTTTGGCAACCACTGGCTTAACTACATAACAACCGGTTCTACCAAAGTAGAATCCCACCACTGGGTCTACCCATTTGTATTTGCAGGCACTGATCTACTCATTTGTTTTCTTTTAACACTGATCAGCTGTAGGGCGCCCCTTTGAAGCCCCGCGGCAAGAATTTAAACAGTTTTTTTTCCCTCTAGCCATCAGAGGGACTCCGGAGGCAGCAATAGATTGGGAGTGGGCAGGGTAAACGAACGGCTGGAGATCCAACAGAGCAGAGAGTGAGGGTGAGTGAAGGCGTGAGGGGGGGCGAGAGGGCTTTGGCGACCCCTGTGAAATGGCCCTTCCAACCCCAAAGGGGTCGCGACCCCCAGGTTGAGAACCGCTGATCTAGACCCTAATAACTTCCAAATACTGGGACAAGGCTTTGTCTGCATTGCCAGTATGGCCAGGATGGAGTATCACCAGCCTTTTAATATATCAATCACATCATGAACTGACAGATGACATTCTTAATATCTTCAAAGAAACATTAAAAAGTCATGGGTAGAGGATCAAACCTGTAGCAGTCCACATAAGAGGCTACTGGATTGCTTCTTCGACAACTTCTGGCTAAAACTACCCACTGCTGAAGCACAGTGCCACCCCCTCCAATAAATAAATAATTCAGGACATGATAGTTAATGGCTGCCAAGAGATCAATTGGGCCAGAAGTTGCATACTATCCCATCAATGTTTTGACAAAAGTCATGGACAGGGATGAAATATGGTTCCGTTACATATCCAGGATGGACTGAGAAGAGTCCAGATAATTCATTCTAGGAAGGTTTGCTTCATAGAATTCCACTGTTTTATCACAGTAGTTCAACAATCTTCTCAAAAAAGGGAAGCTTAGGAATAAAGAGTTAGTTGTCCAATACAGTTAAATCCAGAGAGGGCTTTTAAGGAAAAGGTGCATTACAGCTTTTTTTAAAGATGCAGAAAACACCCTTTCCAACAGAACTAACTGACCACCTCTTAGATACAGATGATCACATTTCTCTCAACTATCCAAAAAAATCTGGAAGTACATTAATCCAACCCATGCATTCAAATGAGACATTAGCAAGCACCCTGTCATTTAATTGGCTAGTTAATATAGCAGATAGTTACCATCATGAATCTTATACATGAAGAGTCAAGAGTTCATAGACAAAATGTTGTATAGAACAGTTACAAATGTCAAGCAGGCAGGTTTACTTCCAGTCTTCTTCCATTAGCACTTTAGGTGTCCCTGCTAGGGCTGCATTTCCAGAATTCTTCAACAAACAAAGGAGCCAATCCAGGATTGGCTAGCACAGAAAGGCTATTTGTAGGCAATGATATTAAGAGAACAGGTTGCTTCTTGCTGCTGGTAGCTAAACAGGGAGGTGATGGAACTGCCTACCAGATTCATCGGAAATTTCCCAAGTATCTGCTGGTACTATGAAAAAGTAGCAGAGATACAGGTGCTATTTAAAATATTCCTTGACTGAAATCCAAAATAGGTTGTACTACTCAATTTTAATTTGAAGTTCAGAAATATTCAGAATACATTCCAGTAATTTTAGCAAGTAGTTACATATGTGTGTGTGTGTGTATGAGTAAGGTAAGGAATACGAGAATCTCCTCAAACAACATGTGCAATACTTTTAAAGACTGTACAAGTATTGATAATACAACCACATTATCAAATTAATGAATGCCTTACATTTTGAACATTTTAAAATAATGTTGCAAACTTGTAATTGTGGCTGCAATAAATAAGCATGGCAAGTTTCCTCAAAAGTCTTCATAAATACTTTACTACTATAAGGAAAAAGATTTTAATATAAAATTAGCCATCAATATACTTACTTATCAAAGCTATCGCTGCATTTTATGAAGCTCTCCAGTTTTTCCTTAGCATACTCCACCACATCAGGATGAAGTTCTATTCCATGATTTATTCCAAAAGGGCCTGTAAATTAATATTCAGCAACCATGTGAGATTATTGAATCAATGTATTTTTATAAAACTGTACATTGATGTGTATGCTAAACAACTACATAGCATTAAGTAGATAGTGGAAACGTATGTATTCTTACAAAAGAGAAAGTTATCCAATAAGCCACAAACCATATAGCTGCTATACTGATACAGGAGTAAATAAAGATCCCAGGGTTTAGCAACTATTCTTTATAAGTAGAAAAAGGAATGACTGCAGATAATTTAGTGCGCTGCAGAAAGTTGTTTATTGTCAATTGCAGATCTTTGGATGGTTTCACAAAACTGTGCTTAACCTTGTTTTAAAATCAAAACCACTATGTCAGGGGTATCAAACTCGATTTCATTGAGGGCCACATCAAAGTTGTGTTTAACTTGGGGGAGGTGTGGGAGCATGGCCAAGATGGGCATGGCCGGGGTAAGCGTGGCCAGCTCGACATCACTTGTCGAGGCTCAGTTTTTGGCCGAGATGGGCTCCTGCAGCCCTCTACCAGAGTAAACAGAGCCCGGGGAAGCCATGAGTGGCCCACCCAGGCTCAGTTTTAGCTGGCAGAGTGTTGCAAGAGTCTGTTGCGACCAAAAATGGAGCCTGAGAGGGCTGCGCGAGACCCACCCGAGCTTTCTTTTCACTGGCAAGGCACAGGGGGCCAGTCATTCGCTATTTCCAGGGCGGCCCGGTGGGCCAGATCTAAACACCCCGTCGGCCAGGTGTGGCCCACGGGCCTTGAGTTTGATACCCCTGCACTATGTGGTTATGATGGCAATCTCATTTATGATAGTGGTAGTGCAGGTTTTTATTCAACTGCCTGCTTCTGTTTATAAAAAGCAGGAAAAGATCCAGAATAGTGCTTAGCATTATTAGCTGCTTTTTCATTAAAACATGGCAAGAAGGTATAGCTCAAAATTCCTTATTTATCAGGGAGAATATATTGAATTATGTTATTTTCCTCACTTTATCTCCCACTTTCAAAATAATGAAATAAAGATATAATATTTAAATTTAAGTCTCAACTTAAATGTCATGATTGTACTTTTAAAACAATTGAAGGGTTTCTATTTTGTACAAGTGGGCAATACTGACATAAAAATTAAGCTATAAATATTTGCTCATCTTTGCAAAGTCACAAATCTCTTGGTAATTTAAGAAATTTTGATCAATTACATATCAGGAACACTAATTTGAAAAGCTACTTGTTAATATCTTGCAAGTTTGGCAGGGGCATAAACATGCTACTTTAAAACCGAGAATATCAGTAAAGTCAACCTATATAAAAGAATGTTCAATAATTTTAAAAATATTACCTAATATTAATCCCACCATTGTACTTAAATATCCGGTTCCACTACCCAGATTAAGAAAAGACAATCCAGGCTGAAGCTTTAATGCTTCCATGACTTCAGAATAAATGCATGGTGCCGATAAATGTATATTTCCATGCTTCCAAGCCAAGTCTTTATATGCATTGTCTCTATAGCCTTCCAGATAGTAATCACCACGATCAATAGCTCTGAAGGCTTGTTCTACTCGCTCAGTGCGAATATATTGTGCTTCTTTCAAGTTATCAATTAAATCATCATTATCTTCGCCTGCACTCACAGCTCCTCCCATGATGATTGTCTTTTAACAATTCAATTAATTTTGAGAATACATTGGTAGGTACTTGTCTGATGTTTCCACATAGAAGGTCCAATCCAGTCTGGCTCAATACTGCTTTGCAAGAGAATCCTAAAAAGATTTTTAAGAAGACATACTTTTATTTTCACAAGTTGTAAAATGTAACCAAATTCAGTGATAATTGGATCGGAAAAGTAAATAATCTTCTTTGATGTCTAATGTAGACATACAGTTGCTAAATTAACCAAATACTCAATATACAGTGAAAGTCCTCAGAATTTGTAGAAAGCCTTACTAGATGAAAGTAATCCATATCCGCCACCCCAAATGGAACTAGGTCAAAACAAAGCTGGTCTGGAAATGTACAGTTGATCCTCAGTGGAAAACAAGTCTATTAAAAGAAAAGAGCAAATCTGTATGTTAATTGTCCATTCAGAGTAATACCGATATAGTAATAGCAAGCAAAATTTTCCTTGTAAATTTTTACTTACAAGTAAAATGTTATCTTATCCAGCAGGTAACTGGATGTTTCCATGTACAAGGAAACAGCAGATAACTGGATGTTTCCATGTACAAGGAAACATGGCAGATTTTATATATTTTTCTTATTGACTATGGAATACATTATTTGACAGTCTCTTTTCTAAATACAACCTTCATGCAGAAAGCACTGGAGAAGATATTGAAACTGATACTATGGTTTTTAAAATCTATTTGAATTAAGTTTTATAATAATAAACAATTTCAGTTAAATATTGAATTTTCTTCTCAAAAACGTATTTGTCTCCTTATTTATTATTAAAAAATCCAGAAGAAAAAGTGTGTGAAGAATTGTGGAAGGACACATGAATCAATAAAGTTGATTGTAGTAAAAAATCATTTAAAATGAATCTTAGTCTAGTAGTCCAAAGTTAAATGTTGTTATATTAGGTTAAGTTAAAGATGGATTTAATGGTCTTTCATACGAAACAATGACACTTGAAAGCCCAATTAAGTAATGAACAGAGCTTTTTCTCCCCAGGAAACTATCTAAAGGTTATTAAAATAGCTCAGCTTCTGTGGAACAGTTACAGTAAGCTATATGAGAAATAGAACAAACATGACATCTAAAATGTTTGAGGTTGATTTGCCCACATCCAGAAAAAAGGAAATATTTATTGGAGATCACAACAAGTTGAATTATATTTTTATTTACTCAAGCAAATGAGAATTATTACTGCATTGTTGGATCATCAAATGTTTGGAAACAACTGGTATCAGTAAAAACATTATAGACTATTTATAGAAAAAATAACAAAACAGTGAGAAACAGAATACGCAGCTGGAAATGAAAAATAGAGACCTGTCAGCATTAGGAGGGGCATCTTCCAGAGTGACCAATTATCATTCTTATCTGCAAATACACGATGCTGATACATTACAACATCCCAGGTTCTACACATCTTGGGAAGAACTAGATGGGTAGTAGGCCTATATGTTACTTAGAATTTTCTTTTTAAAAAATGGCAAACCATTTTTATGTAGTTATCAATAAAATCCCATATAGTAACCAGAAATTGAACTTCAATGGTTCTTCAGTTCAATTCAAGAGAAACAGGAATTTTTATTTTAATATTTCTTATCAGTTATACTAAAAATAAAAATTTCATATTAATAATTTGTGCTTCTATATAGTTTAGTGGTGGTCAGATTTGTTCTTTGCGAAAATGAAATGCTGTCAAACACATCAAACTGAAGTCGAGATGCTGTAATTAATGAAGCATTTTCAGCAACTTAAGTTTTAAAACTTTTCTCATTCTGACTAGTTGAAAAATTCTGAAATGTATATATAACCAAACTGATTAAAAAGTACCTCTTCCCTAATAGAAAAAAAGCTGTTCAAATTGCTACTACTGTCCAAGTAATTATGTTTAAAGTATTTCAAGCAGGTAAAACAATTCTTTCTCAGCCTTATTTCCACCCATAACTACTTTACCTTTGGCAGTTAACATATACCTGCAAGTCAGTGACACAATCATAGGCGCACAGATGACCTTACAATAAGCAAACATACCTAGAGCAATACGTTTGCAATTCTCCATTATCCTTGAGATTCAGTAATGATATTTCATCATTTAGACCCATGGAAAGGGGATCTCATGTAATTCTTATGATCTCAACAATTTTCTCCTTTCTTTTAGCCTCAGCCTTAAGCATCTAGAGAACATTTCCTGATGTCATGGTAAAACCATACAATGGACACATAAACACCATGTTATTTAGAAAGCTTACAGAGTTCCTTCATAATCACATATTTCTTCTTTTTATCTGGAACACACCATCAAAACTATCATCTATTTTGAGACTTTAACTACAGCCTCATTTGTTCTGATTTGATTTGTTCTGATTTGATCAACTGAATGGAATTAAATCAGGCACTGTTAACTGATAACTTGAAATCTGTCTCACCTTTAACCTGCATCTGTATAACCTTGTCTTCCCATTCCTTCCCTCTTGCCTCATACCAATTAAATCCTTTATCAATTTAACTGTTCCATGTATCTGAAAAAAGAAGTTATAGCTAACAAAAGTTTAGGCGTTTTAATGAAATTTGTTAAATCTGAAAAGTAATTATCAGACTCCTCCTGATTTTCCTCTCTCAACTGTTAACAATATCTTTCCAGTGAGCAACAGAAGATTTTCCTGTAACGAGGATATGGAAATAATCTTCTCTCTACCTCTTTGCATTTTCCCACAAGTACAGAATCTGCTGTTTTAGGATCAACCAACTATTCGTTCATTGATTGTATAGGAATTGACTAATCAGTTTTCATCCAAACCTGACAATGTGGGGTATAAGACAATGACTAGCTAAAGTCTTCTTAATTATGTCTAAGATGAGACTAGAACTGATAGTCTCCTGTGTCTTAACCATTAGACCAAACTAGCTCTCGTAACATATGAAACTTATGGCCCTCCCAATTTTTGCTGAATTGTAACATGCTTTATAATAGATTTCAATAGGATTAGAAACTAGAATAGGTTTAGAATAGGATTCCCTGCTCTGATTTTAAAAGATACACTAGGAGGACTTCTAGATAATCATTTCCCAATGAGAGTTAGCACCTGTCAAGAGATGTGATATACAGAATTCCTTTTCTTCTAAAAATGCCATGAACTGAAGATAGGCCATGGGCTCAAAAAAGATTTTTGTTTTATTAAGAATTCTATTATAAAGCATCAGGAAATATGACATAATTTATATGATCAAAGTATGTGGCTATGTAATATTTGCTCATTCCAATTACTATAGGGCTAGCCACACCTGACTCCAAACAATATATATATTAACATAAAAGTTTTTTTTTGTTAAATTAAGGGTGGCCAGGCTCTTAATACTTTCAGGATCTCAGGTTTGCGCACACAGCTAGATCTTAAGAGTCTTATGAAAGACCTAGTCACAGCTGCCACTTGCTCTTCAAGCAGGAACAAGTCCAAGAAGACCTCACCAGGTCTTCTGGGGCAATGCTATCCCATCCAATATGGTACCCATCCCTATGGAAAAATCTTGTTCTCAGGAGGAATAAATACCCAAGGCTACTCCATTTTGCTTGGACTGAATTGGAGACAATTGTCCCACATTCAGGGCCCTATAGCCTCTAGACACTGGGATAGGATATTCATGACATCACCCAGCAGATCTGGTATGGAGATATATAGCTGGGTATCATCTGCATATTGATGGTATCTCACCCCAAATCATAGAATTGCATCACCCAATTATTTCATGTAGATATTAAATAGGACAGAACACCAAGCTCTAAGCAACAATATGAAAAACAGAAGATAAGCAGAGCCATTCTATTATCAAAATATATTACAGGAACACTGTAATCGTGTTAATATGAACAGGAACAGGTCTGTTACAAAATTCTACTATCAATAGATTATAATGCTAATATGACATACTCAGAATGCTCTAATGCCGTGATGACAAACCTATGGCACGCATGCCAGAGGTAGCATGCAGCGTTCTATCTGGTGGCACAGGAGTCATTGCTCCAGTTCAGCTTTGCTGTGCATGCGCGCACACCTCCTGCTGGCCAGCTGGTCTTCGGGTCTCTGCCATGCATGCGTGGGGGGCAGGGCATTGTGGGGGGCCATGTGTGCATGTGCAGGGGGGCAGGCTGTGGGGGAGCGCACACATGCACAGGGCAGAGCGCGTGCAAGGGGCACACAGGCATGCGCTGGGGGTGGGGTACATGCATGGGGGCCACGTGTGCATTGCATTTTGGGGGTTCAGGTGCGTGTGCGCGCTTTGGGCACTTGGTCCAGAAAAGGTTCTGCTCTAATGCATTAACTTGTGTTTTTTATGCTGGCTAAGCTTGTACAAGAAGCAAACAGAAAAATTAGGAGGGGCAAAGAAAGTTTGCTGAAATAGCAACAACATTCTTCCTATTAGAAAAGATTGTTGTGAATATTTAAGACATATTCACTATCATCTCACCATAATATCCAATTTAGTGAATGGCTACATGACAAAAGGTATAAAATGATCTGGCCTATTTCAAGGACATATAAAGACATCCTTTGTCTAAAGAGTTACTTATAAGCATTTAAAGCATGCCCTTGAAATAATGTTCTTATTCAATTTCAGCAATGAATAACATTAAAAATTATAGCTGTAAGATTATAAGTGTAAGTATAATTTTATTTCTATACCGCCCTTCTCCCAAAGGACTCAGCCTATTTAAAAACACAAGACAAACATCAATTAAAAATTTAAAATTATTAAATAAATTCAGCTCAATTTAAAACCCCAGAAATTTAAAATACCCCAATTTAAAATTATTATGTTGATAGCCTGGCCTGGCGGAACAACAGGGTCTTCAGTGCACACTGAAATACCCGGAGGTCAGAGATCTTACGTATTTCTGGGGGCAGTTCATTCCACAGGGCTGGGGCTCCCACAGAGAAGGCCCTCCCCCTGGGTGTCGCCAGCTGACATAACTTGGCCGATGGCACCCTGAGGAGACCCTCTCTGCGGGAGCGAACTGGCCGGTGGGAGGCTATTGGTAGCAGAAGTCAGTCTCGAAGATAAATAAAAGATAAATGTTTCCTCGGTCCAGTGGTATTTGACTCAAGGGGGCAATGCTCATCTCAATTTCTTAGCCGAGAGTGCCAGCGTTGTCTCAAAACATTTGGTCATGTGGCCAGAATGACTATACACCGAGGCCAGGGGTGGTATTCACTTACCTTCACTACCGGCTCGCATGCTCACACCTGCCAGCTCCGTGCATGCAGAGCGTCAAAAACGGGACATGATGACGTGCCAGGTGGGTGGGCAGAGCCTCCCGCAGCCACCACTACTGGTTCATGTGAACCGGATAGAACCGGGTGAATACCACCACTGACCGTAGCACATGGAATGCTGTTACCTTACCATCTAAGTGGTACCTATTTATCTACTCACATTTGCATGCTTTAGAACTGCTAGTTTGCAGAAACTGGGTCAAGTAACCAAAGTTCACCCTATTGCATGGCACTCGAGCCTTGAACCCAGGCTGTCAGCTGTCCAGCTGTTAAACTATGCATCTTTAACCACTGAGCCATCATGCCTTTTTATTGTGTGTTAGAAAAAATATGTTCTAAATATGTTCAACTTAGCAAAATCAGTTTTGCTTCAATGTAAACTGCCAACTAAACTGAGTTATATATTTCAAACCTGGAAGAAGCTACTAATGCCCTTTCTCACATACTTTCTTTAAATAGTATTAAATAGTATTATTAGTATTAACAGTAGATGGCAGCTTCACTCAATAAACATTTTTTTTTTCTGGGGTTAACCACACCTTTCAAATGGAGCTTTATTAGCAAATACAAAACTTATATTTTCCAGAAATAAGATTTAATTTTGTTCTTATGCTTATTCTATTGCTTTGAAGAGACAAAATATAATATGCACTACTTGCAACAGATAAAGAGCAGATGCTCTTATCTGGATTTATTTCACCCTCACTAAAGTGCCATATGCCAATTGCCAGATACCAGGGCTCCTACTTGCTTCTCATGTCAACCTTCCCTTTTTTATTTGTTTCTGTTAAGAGTATGAAATTACAGATGGGAATTGTCTCTTCATTTCTGTACAATATTAAGACAATTACATACACTGGAAGATACTTCTTGGCCTTTTGGCTAACATTAAATGTAGTAGATATGTCTGAGAAACACAATACTGATTTGTCAGAGTTTAACATATAGCTAACAATATTCAAGTAACAATTTAACAGAACTACGAATTGTTATACAATCTTATGCATGTTTACTCAGAACTTCTAGAAATTCAATTTAATTTGAACCCAAGAATATAGTTTATTGCATAGCTGCACAGATTAAGAACCAACATGTAACTTAGTTTATACTAGGGCATTTAATTTTCCCAAGGAGCCACATGAAAAACTGGGACTATTTGTTATAGAAATGGCTTATATACAGGTGAAACTCGAAAAATTAGAATATCGTGCAAAAGTTCATTTATTTCAGTAATGCAACTTAAAAGGTGAAACTAATATATGAGATAGACTCATTACATGCAAAGCAAGATAGTTCAAGCCTTGATTTGTCATAATTTTGATGATTATGGCTTACAGCTCATGAAAACCCCAAATTCACAATCTCAGAAAATTAGAATATTACATGAAATCAATAAAACAAGGATTGTACATAGAACAATATCGGACCTCTGAAAAGTATAAGCATGCATATGTACTCAGTAATTGGTTTGGGCCCCTTTCGCATCAATTACTGCCTCAATGCAGCATGGCATGGATGCTATCAGCCTGTGGCACTGCTGACGTGTTATGGAAGACCAGGATACTTCAATAGCGGCCTTCAGCTCTTCTGCATTGTTCGGTCTCATATCTCTCATCTTTCTCTTGGCAATGCCCCATAGATTCTCTATGGGGTTCAGGTCAGGCGAGTTTGCTGGCCAATCAAGCATAGTAATCTCATGGTCATTGAACCAGGTTTTGGTACTTTTGGCAGTGTGGGCAGGTGCCAAGTCCTGCTGGAAAATGAAGTCAGCATCCCCATAAAGCTCGTCTGCGGAAGGAAGCATGAAGTGCTCCAAAAACTCCTGGTAGACGGCTGCGTTGATCCTGGACTTAATGAAGCACAGTGGACCAACACCAGCAGATGACATGGCTCCCCAAATCAACACAGACTATAGAAACTTCACACTGGATTTCAAGCATCTTGCAGTGTGTGCCTCTCCATTCTTCCTCCAGACTCTGGGTCCTTGGTTTCCAAATGAGATGCAAAAGTTGCTCTCATCAGAAAAGAGGACTTTGGACCACTGAGCAACAGACCAGTTCTTTTTTTCTTTAGCCCAGGTAAGACGCTTCTGACGTTGTTTGTTGTTCAGGAGCAGCTTGACAAGAGGAATACAACATTTGAAGCCCATGTCCAGGATCCAGGTCTGTGTGTGGTGGCTCTTGATGCACTGACTCCAGCCTCAGTCCATTCCTTGTGAAAGTCCCCAACACTTTTGAATGGCCTTTTCCTGACAATCCTCTCCAGGCTGCGGTCATCCCTGCTGCTTGTGCACCTTTTTCTTCCACACTTTTCCCTTCCACATAACTTTCTATTAATGTGCTTTGATACAGCACTTTGGGAACATCCAACTTCTTTTGCAATTACCTTTTGAGGCTTTCCCTTCTTATGGAGGGTGTCAATGATGGTTTTCTGCACAACTATCAGGTCAGCAGTCTTTCTCATGATTACAATTCCTACTGAACCAGACTGAGAGACCATTAAAAGGCTCAGGAACCCTTTGCAGGTGTTATGGCTTAATTAGCTGATTAGAGTGGGACACTTTGAGCCTAGAATATTGAACCTTTTCACAATATTCTAATTTTCTGAGATTGTGAATTTGGGGTTTTCACGAGCTGTAAGCCATAATCATCAAAATTATGACAAATCAAGGCTTGAACTATCTCGCTTTGCATGTAATGAGTCTATCTCATATATTAGTTTCACAAGTTGCATTACTGAAATAAATGAACTTTTGCACAATATTCTAATTTTTCAAGTTTCACCTGTATATTATTCTGTAAGAGTAAAATATTGAAGCTGTAAGGTTAGTATCTTATTCTACTATGCTAAAAAGGGTCAGAAGTCAATCCTTTTCTTTCTTTCCCCCTCTCCTTTACTCTACATTTTCTCCTCTTCCCTTTTTCCTCCCTAATTTCTCATTTTTTTCATTTTCCTTTGTTTTATATCCTGAAAAACTAATAAAAATTGATGAACAAAAAAAGAGAGAGAAACTGGCACTGCTGTATAGGGCTCACACTGCTGGTCCCTCCTCCAGTTCCTCCTGTCCCCTGCTGCCTCTGCAGACTGGGCAGGGACAAGCGAAGGGCCAGATGTGGCCACGGGGCATAAAATACCAAGGTCCGGTTTATACTGTCTGTAAAATGAAAAAAATAAAGTAATACACATTGTAATAAAAATGGTTTAATTATTATATGAATGCTTGAAAACAGAACATCGAAGGCATTATAACAGAACTGGCATTTTTAATACTTCATGTCATTGAAGAATCTGGCAGCATTAACATCCAAAAATACAGTTCAATCCTAAGTATGCATATGCATAGTCCTGGAAAGGTTTAGTCTTGTTGACCTGAATGATGTTTATGCATAAGATTCAGTTACTGTTATAATTAACATAGAACTGCATTTATTTGTCTGCACGATCTATATTCCAGAATATAATTTATCCTTAGAAATGTCATAATTCAAGTTTCTAATCAGACTAATAATGTGGAAATGTAATACATTATCTGCTATAATAAATAGTGCTTATTTTTAAAAATTAGACCTCCTCAATCAAGATAAATTAATGTTGGTTGCAGTCATATGGGATGCTGCAAATGGCCATAAATGCAGGCTGGTTACTGAGTGCCCAAAATGCAATCCTGTGTCTGCAGAGTGAGCCTGGATGTCAAAACCTCAAATCCAGGCTGTAACTTTTTTTTGGCTCCTGGTCATATGTTGAAAATTCCCTGTATGGTAAAGTATTATTTATAATATCAGAGGCACTATATATCACCATACTACCTGTGGATTATATGATAAGGAATATTTAATTATGCTGAAGGATATTTTGGCATTGTAGGAAATATATGCTTAATTAGATGGGATTTTTGTCATAAAACTTCAGCTTTTAACTTGCACCTTTTATTGCGCTATAGTAATCAGGAACTGGGGATGCTGTACGGATTGAAACAACCCTTAAGTTTGCTTTAGGAGACAAAACAAGCAAAGGAATGTGTGTGGCACAGATGACGTGTAACATGCAAAATAAATTCCATGGGGAAAAAAATAAGTGGACTAGATTTGAAAAAGTGTTCTATTGTACCAGATATATTTAGCTTTCAGCATTCTACATGTTTTATATCTTTTCAAACATCAGGAATTATCTACATAGTAGTATACTTTATTTCCTACCATGTTTCCCCAAAAATATGACCCTGTCTTATATTTTTTTGAACCCTGAAATAAGTGCTTGGCCTTATTTTTGGGGAGGTAGTATTTTGGGGCACATGGAGCAAGACAGGGCTCCTCTTGCCATCTTACCTGATTTCCAGCTCTGTCTCCCTAACCCTAACCAGAAGAAATGGTGCGGACCAGCTGCACATGTGTTTAAATATTTTTGGGGAGGGCTTATTTTCAAGGAAGGGCTTATTTTCAGGGAAACATGGTAGATGTCAGAAAGTTTCAATTATGTAAATTGAATAACAATATATTCAAATAATGTTCTAAAATATTAACTTATTTGAATTAAAAATATCATTCCTTGCCAGTAGGGTTTTTTCCCCTAGAAATGGGTATGGGGAGTCATGGGCTTTTTTCTGTAATTTTGATTTTACACCATTTTGCTTATTCTGCTGGAATTAAGCAAATGCATCCTAGCTTGAGCATGTCAACACAGAATTTTATTAACATATAAAATATACATTTATTTTTATTACATTACATATCAGTAGCTGTTGAATCCTGATTATATATGGTTTATTCCTTTACATAGGTCTGTAAAGGTTTGTTCCTTATGTTGTTATATGTAAGGAATAAATCCAAAATAAGGGCAATCCCAAATTATCTGGAATCCTATACAGATAGTCCTTGTTTAGCAACCACAATTGGACCTGGGAAATTGGTCATTAAGCAATCACTTAGCGAAACCACAACTGTGCTTATGATCTTCAGTTTTACTTTGCTTTACAGACCTACGAAGTCATAAATGTGAGGACTGATTGCTACTTTTTCATTTACATTGTAATTACAAATGGTCATTAATGGCAGTCAAGTTATTTGGGCCATTGTAAAATGGACTTCGTTTTTCAATCATTTATTGATGCAATACTGGATTTTTGTTTTTTCATTAAATCTGCTAACTTCAATAGAAGATGCTCCACTTCTACTATTTGATGTATTTTAAAAAACAAAACTTTGGATGATTTTTAAAAGCTTATTGAATGAAGTAGATAAATATACTAAGGATTTTATTCTCTTGATGGCAAAATGTGTATGTCTATTAAACATTCAAAACCAGCAGGATCTCATCCCATGTCATACTTACAGATTTTATACAGGATGAAGCACTATCATATTACTTATTAGTCTGAAAATCTCAGGAGAAGATACCAGATTCACTTCTTACAGTCTTTCCCTTTTCTCCCTTAATGATCTTTCTTTTGCTTTCCCCTCAAGTCCTTACCCAGTGAAGAAATGAGGCAAATGAACCAATACAGTAACAAATTCTTGTCCCAAAGGTGCTTTTTCAAGAGACAACTGGACTTTCTGGTTTTTCTTTGAAGACGTTTCGCTTCTCATCCAAAAGAAGCTTCTTCAGCTCTTGACTGGATGGTGGGGAATGGAAGGTCAGAACTGAAGAAGCTTCTTGGATGAGAGGCAAAAGGTCTTCAAAAAAAAAAGAAAGAAAGAAAAGAAAAAGAAAAACCAGAAAGTCCAGTTGCCTCTTGAAAAAACACCTTTGGGACAACCATGACCTGGATAACTGAGAATCTCCATAGACATTTAACAAAAGGCCTGGTGGCTCAGCAGACTAAAAGCATTGTGATTAACACCAGCTGTCTGCAATTACTGTAAGTTCGAATCTCACCAGGCTCAAGGTTGACTCAGCCTTCCATCCTTTCTAAGGCAGATTGTGGGGGCAATAAGCTGACTTTGTATAAATATACAAAAGTATGAAGGCTTAATGCATTGTAAGCTGCCCTGAGTCTCTGGAGAAGGGTGGCATATAAATCAAATAAAAAAAAAAAAACCTCTTGTGCACTTAATTCAGCATCCAGAGGAAGCTACACACTTCAGAAGGGGAGGGGGGGAGAGAAGGGGAGAAAAATAAATGCAAACAGGCCCTCAATTTACAGCAAGGCCGTGCAGCCCAGCAGCTTTAAGTCTGCCTACAAAGCCAAGTCGCCTTTTCTCTCCCAGTTGGACACTTCAGAGCAGTGGTGAAATTCAATTTTTTTTTACTACAGGTTCTGTGGGCGTGGCTTGGTGGGCGTGGCAGGGGAAGGATACTGCAAAATCTCCATTTCCAGCCCACTCCAGGGGAAGGATATTGCAAAATCTCCATTCCCACCCCCCTCTGGGACCAGCCAGAGGTAGTATTTCTCCGAACTACTCAAAATTTCTACTACCTGTCAGAACCTGCTGGATTTCACCCCTGCTTCAGAGACAAACAAGGAGTCCCTAACTTTGGCCGCTTTAAGCCTGGAGGACTTCAACTCCCAGAATTCCCCGGGCAGCTTCGCTGGCTGCTTTGCTGGCTGGGGAATTCTGGGAGTTGAAGTCCTCCAGGCTTAAAGCGACCAAGGTTGGGGACCGCTGCTACAAACGACCCCGATTCTCTTGCGTCCTTCCCTCCCTCCTCCAATACAGTCTTCCTATAAAGAGAAGGGCAGCGTGACGAGCTCCGAGCAGGAGATGGGCTCGCGGCCGAGGGTAGGAGAAACTTAACCGTTTCGCCTAAGCCGCGGCGCGTCCTATCTTGAGACAAGCCTTCCGCCGACATTTAAAGCGGTGCGTGAACTTTTAGCGCCTTGCGAAAAACTGTGGTAGGCACCACGGGGGTGGTGGTGGTGGAGGAGGAGCAAAAAGAGAAGCGAGAAACGAATTTCTTTTCCTCTCGTGAGGTGAGGTGACGGGGGGGGGGAGAGGGGGAGGAGAACTCGGGTGCTCTCTCCGCTCCTTTGTTGTTCGGGTGATTCATTCGATCTCTTCCTCTTTGGCACCTCTCGACACCAAGCCAACTGGCGGCCAGTTGGTTGGCAGAGCGAGGAAGCGGCAGAAGAGGAGGAGGAGGAGAAGGAGGCGGCGGCGGCGGAGCCTCCAACTTGTTTATCCCTTTTATAGTCCCAGCAAACGCTCGGACCAAAGGGAGGCCGCCTCGTTAAAGAGCCGGAGGCGGCGAGGAGCAGCCGGGTAGCATTAAAACGACCGTCGCCCTTCTTCCGCCCTCAGCCCCGAGGTCTTGCCCTTTTTTTTTTTTTAAACGCTCAGAGACGAAGAGTCTCTCAGATACGGCAGGGCTCGAACTGCTTCCCGTGAGGAACGGCAGACGCTCCCCCCCCACCCCCCTCAGCTGCACACTTTCTCAGAGTCCCGGACCCTGGGGGGTGGAGTGGGGGGGTGGGTTGAACCAAAGAAGAAAGGGGGGGAGGGAGGGAAGTGCCAGGGGCTCCGAGGGCGGAAGAAGGGTTTTCCCCCGGAGCTTTCAACGGCCTTTAGAGAACTAACCTAGCCAGCCAGGTCGTTTGGAGCCTTCGAGGCCGCCTCGAGCACCCATTGCTGTTCTTTTTCTGTCAGCGTCTCTTCTCCCCCCCCCTCAATCCGACTCACCTTCCACACGTCCTTTGCGTCCCGAAGTGGACTGAAGCTTTGAGAGCCTATCAGAGCGGAAACCAACCAGTTTTAAGAAAGAAAAGAGAGAAAGAGGCGTCTCGGGCTCCGAGTCAGAGAAGACGTTGCCCACTGAATGCGTATATATGTCTGTGTGTCGTGGGGGGAGGGGAGGAGAAGGAAGGTTCTCCTCGCCGTCAGCCTCGTCCCGCCGGCCGCGGCCGCTGATCCTGACTGTTTGTGTTGGCCTGAACGACGCCAGGAAGGAGGGGGGGGGGAGAGGGGGAGGGGAGAAGCCAAACAGCTGAGAGGATGTAAACACTGGGGCACGTGACCCTATCTCTGGGAGGGAGGCGGAGTCGATCTATCCTTCCTTCGGACTGGACGCCTGGTTGTTGCGTCGGCTCTGCAAGCGGAGAGACTCCGCCCCGCAACTCCACGACCAATGAAGATACAAGAGTGTTGCGTCAAAAAAAAAAAAATAACGTCAATAAAGCAGCCAATAGCAGTTGGAGATTTTTAGGCTTTGTGTTTTTTACTTAGTCTGTCAAAGAGCAGCTCTTCGGACGAAGATAGGGAGCGATAACTTGTGAATGGAATCTCTTTGTTTGGCAAATAGAAAATGTGATGCAATAGGCATTATTAAATTTAGCTTTAAGTATCCTAGTATCACAAAAAATGTAAGAGCTCATTTTATGCTTATTTAATGTTATGATCTAAAAAAAAAATAGAGAAGATTTTATTTGCTTTATTATTTTTGCTTTTGCTTACCAGGATCATACCAGGTTCCCCTAAAATCTCTTCCCATGAGTGTAGATTCACATACTTATTTTATGCTAGATAGTGTGCCGCATTTTCCTGCTTGGTCTTATGCTTTCAAGAACAAAAATATAGTTAAAGGGATCTTAAAAAGATGCTTCTCCCTGATTCATCATCAATTGCATGTTAGTAAAGCTGCCATTAAAAGCATATGAGCGGAGAACATTTTTAAACTTGTCAGATTTTCCTAGAGCCATGATGGTGAACCTATGGCACGGGTGTAGCTGTAGCTCAGCTCCAGCGCGCATGTGTGCGCCAGCCAGCTGATTTTTGAGCCTTTTGGTCCTACCAGAAGTTGGGAAATGGGCTTTTTCTGGCCTCCGGAGGGCTTCCAGGGGAGTGGGGAAGGCCGTTTTTGCCCTTTCCAGGCTCCTAGAAAACCTCTGGAGCCTGGGGAGAGTGAAAAACAGGGCTACCAGGCCCACTGTGCCATCATGTGCTAAAAGTGGGAGGGCACATGCGCAGGAGTGGGGAACATTGAATTATGGGTGTGGGCACACGTGGGCGACCTCACCGCGCTCCCCCCGCTTTTGGCACGTGACGGCAAAAAGGTTAGCCATCATTGTCGTAGAGGTTAAATAGCTATGATTTACTTGTTTCATACTTAACCTCATTTAAATCCATCATATATCACTTTTTTTTTTTTTTTGCAAAATATTTTTTATTTTTTCCAACATAGTGAAAACAATGACTTGGGACCATTTTTCACATTCATGAGGGTTGCAGCATCTCCATGATCATGTCGTCAAAATTCAGACGTTGGACATGTCCTGGGGTTATGTGATCACCTTTTGTGACCTGACAAAGTCAATGGGGAAGCTAGATTCACTCAACAACTGTGTTACTACCTTAACAGCTGCACTGACTCTTTAACAATTATGGCAAGAAAGATCGTAAAATGGGGCAAAACTCACTTAACTGCTTGGCAATGGAAATTTTGGGCTCAATTATGGTTGCAAGTCCAGGATTACCTTTGTATATCTGCATATATATGTTCAAACAGGTGTCCTTTTGTGCAGAACTTTCTCAGAAATAGGGTAAAAGTAGGGTTTGCTTATAGGTGTTTGTCATATGCAGATATCAGAAACTGAGGAAGGTTTTGGAAAAGCTTGAAATTCTACACAATATTGGCTACATTGTAGGAGAAGAGTTATATATAGTTTATAGTAACAAAAACTCTGACTTTTACCTTTTATTAAAAAGCATAAGATTGTTTCAAAACCATACATGTAGGTAATTTTCCTTTAGACAAGTAACTAACAGAAATAGGCAGTGGTACCTAAAGAAGTATATGAGAAGAACACTGATCATTATGACTGATAAAGAATATTTGTAGCTCAGGTTTGAAATGAGGGGTCCTTGGTGCTCTATGAATCTGGGGTTGTTGTTTTTTTTTTTTGTAGACTATTCATTACCTCAACTAGGTAACATCATATGACCCATATTTCATTGGGTAATGTATCATCTGCAAGAAAACAACCAAGCTCACACAGCACCAAGGACCCTTTCTTATGACTGAATTAAGTCACTTGCTTCTGCTTGCATAGTCTTATTTTACCATTTAAAATAATCTTAATATTAATATATTAGAGAAATATTTTTGGAAGTTACAGTAGCATGAGTAAATTTAGGAATTGACCTCTTCAAGGAACTTGAATAAACTTTAAACATTTAGGAATAAACTCTTCAAGGAACTTGAATAAATTCTAGTATGTACATCATTGTAATCTATCTTGCATATATTTAGGGCAATAGCATGCCATCTTTTAGCATTGTTGCTTATATTCCTGAGACATCATTTAAGGATCTAAATATGAATGGATAATGAGTAGCTGAAAGAATGTTTTGTATTTAAGACCAGTTTATTAATGAGGCAGGCTTCTGCAAAGTTTTCATTCAAATGCATTTGTGTATTAAGATCAGCCTTCAGAAGATTGCATTTTATATGCAAGGCAGTGGGAAGTTACCATAAACCCATTTATAGTATTTGTGTGTCTAATGCTGGGTTGTTTTTGAACGATTCTATCCCATCAGGAGTAAACTCTACTGTTCTCACATTTCCTAAATTTTAACATACAAACTGTCTTATTTGTTTCATTAGAGAAAAATGGAAAATTAAAGAATTTTTGTGATGCTAATGTGTCTTCATTAAAGGTGAATGGTAAAGTCTTGGTTTTCATTTGAGACTCTAATACAGAATCAGCAGCTATGGTTACTTCTGATGAATTAACTTAGGTAAAGGGTTGAGACCTTACAGGTGGTTCAACTATTTTACTAAGTTATTGGTACCGTAGTAATGGGATCTAATCTATATTAAATGATTGGCTTTATATTTATACTAATTAATGCAAAAAAATTAATAGAATTACAGTATGAAGGGGTTAATTCAATCACATAGTACAAAAAAAATTACAGTAATCTAATATATGATCTGTTAAATTTGTGATCATTTTTGACAATTTTGTATGCTTCTATGTTCCTGAAATATTGTGAAAGCTATGCTATTTTTCGGTTCTAAGCCCCACTAGCTTCTTTACTGTATCTCAATGAGAAAATATACCCCAATTTAAGCATTAATGTTCCAATACAACTGCTTTTAAATGTAAATAAATATATCAGGAAACCCAGATTTATACATCATACATTAAATAACCAAACTTGCTTTCTCCTTTTCTGAAGCTGAAATGTTCTGTTTTAATTATGCAATATAGTAAACCTTTGGTGGCTTTATATCTTCAAAAACAGAGCAAAGATGTGGAACTTTAACTCCTTCCTCTTTCACTTACAGAATTTATAATATGAAAACAAGGATGGGGTGGAGAATCCAGCATTCTGTTGAAGCAGAATTAAGAAAAGTGTGAGTAAAATACTTACCCTAGCCAAATCTGCTCAAGAAAATGATGGATTTATTTATTTTTAATTTGGAGCTATGGTCAATTGAGTATGATTGGTTCAAATCCACTCAACTGTGAAGTTCATTGTGTGACTTTTGAACAGTCTACAGTTCTCACACTATATTACCTCATACAGATTTAGTGTAGATAAAATAAGGAGTGGCCTGCCATGAAAGCAACCATACTTGAGCAACAACAAGAAATCTCTAAATAGATTAATTATATAAAGAATCTTTCTTCATCTCTTGTGAGAGAAATCCTAATGAAGAGGTTATATATTAAAGTTTGCTTTCAATTCTGTGTTTGCTAGCTGAGATTGCAGAGAGAGAGAGAAGACAGTGATATACTGTATTAACTAACAGTGAATATTAGTTTGGATTGGCTCTATTTTTGAACCTTTGGGGACATAATTTTTCAAGTTTTTTTTTAATGTAATATGGAAGGTGACCAAGAACAAGATGTACATTGATAGAGGAATTCAACTTAGTTACATGGGAGACCATTTGCTTGGAAACATCAGATTCCAGTTTGAAAGTACAACTGGGCTCAGCTTTTACTTAGAATGTCGGCTGGTGAGATCAGACTTTGCCATGGCAATATATGTCTTAGACACAATTTGAATGGATTATTGTTGGGTACTAACACATGTATTGTTGCATAAGTTGAATTTATCCATGAAAGGTTATTCTATAAGCTATGTGGCTGGGCCAAATGAGACATGATGCTAATTGAATGCATGATTTTAAAAATCTTTGCAGATTTTATTATGTGGCTTATGGGAAAAAAGTATCATAATTTTGAAACAAGGTTAGTGTCATCTGCCTGAAACACAAGTCATTGTTTTGACCCTTGCTCAAGATTTGGGGTGGGTGCGGATTCAGGTTTAAGAATTGGATAATGAAGTTGAACTTTCAAACAGCTTTCATGTTCAGCTTTGAAACAATTTCACAGCCTGTGCAAATAGGTTATTCACTGTCACGCATTATAGAAAGCTCTCACAACTAAAGATAATGATGCCTAGAAAAAATGTCACATTTGGAGTTGGACCTGCCCTTAAAAGGCAAGGAACTTTGGTAATTGACTGATTTTTAGCAGGACTATGTAAATTCAGGTAAAAAACTCTCTGTTAGCTATTTCTATAATAGTTCTATGAAATAGCTTCTAATGGTGAACCTATGGCACGCGTGCCACAGGTGGCACGTGAAGTCATATCTGTGGGCACGCGAGCATTGCCCTAGCTCAGCTCCAGCGCACATGTGCGCACCATCCAGCTTATTTTTGGGCCTTCCGGACCCACCGGAAGTCCGGAAACTTGCCGTTTCCAGCCTGGGGGGGGGGGGGGGGGAAAGGCCGTTTTCGCCCTCCCCAGGTTCCTAGAAAGTCTCTGGAGCCTGGGAGGGCAAAAAATGGGCCCACCGGGCCCACCGTGCCATCACGTGCCAAAAGTAGGTGGAGCACGGGGGGTCACGTGTGCATGGATGGGGGTGGGGCGCATTGAATTATGGGTGTGGGCACGCGCGCACGTGACTCCCCCACACTCCCTCCGCTTTTGGCATGCAACGGCAAAAAGGTTAGCCATCACTGAAATAGCCTTTGGATGTACTATATATAATGTTAAAATAAAAAAAATAAGTTTTCCTAAATTTCCTAATCTGATATGTGCTTAAATTATTCATTCCTTAAATTCATATTACAGGAATCATGATTCATTTTGTGTTCTCTTTATCTCAGCCTATGATACAATGCAATCCTGTTTATAACAAACTTTCATTTCTGGTATCTAATAGAGTTAGTTGTTCTGGATGAAATTTAAATGAATGATTTATGTCTTCCAGTTGCCACAACAGTTATTTCATATACTAGCTAATTCTTACGATGGAACTCTCAGTAAATTAAATCTAGTAGCTAGAATTTTGTTTGGGTTTCAGAGATTTTATCTGGGAAAAAAAAATCTAAAGAACCCAGAGACTACATTAGTATTTGAAATGACTTTTAAATACACATTTGATTCAGTGCCTCACCATAGCAAGCATCTTGCTCAAAATATCATTTGTCTTACATTCGGTGCTGCAGAGATGATTCTGGGAGTGACATGTATTGTCATTTATAGCCATAGCAGAGACTTATATACCGCTTCACAGTGCTTTACAGCCCTCTCTAAGCGGTTTACAGAGTCAGCATCTTGTCCCAAACAATCTGAGTCCTCATTTTACAGATCTTGGAAGGCTGAGTCAACCATGAGCCCGGTGAGAATTGAGTTGCTGAACTGCAGGCAGCTGGTAGTCAGCAGAATTAGCTTGCAGTACTGCATTCTAACCACTATGCCACGATAAACTCTGGAAACTGGCAAAAAAAAAGTCAAAAATTGCAGTCATATAACTGTGAGATGCTCTAAATAGCCTCCCAGGTAAGCCAGTTGCCAATTGCCCAAAATGTGATCACGTGATGTGTGTGTTTGTGTCCATGTGCAGCCAATGTAACTTCAAAATTAGACCGTAAGTAGCTTTTGGTAGGTCTGTTGTAACTTCAAATGGTTGCTAAGCAACTGATCGTTTCATTTTTATATGTTAAAAGAGATGGGATACGTGTCAAATTGCAAATTAGATTTGGGATTTTTCTTCCAAAATACTTGGATGTAAAACTCAATTTCTTCTTCAATACAGGAATTCATTATTTTCTTACAGCAGTGAAATTTATATATAGCATATTTCCTTAGAGTTAAACTGGAATCAGTGGGACCTTAAAGTGAATGAGTCCAGGATTATAGCTCAAGTTATGATTTTCATCAGAGATTTCCCACTATACGAAATAGCTAACAGATTCATCGCTATTTTCCTTTAAATATTTTTCTAAATGGAAGGGCCATCTTAAATTCAATTCATTTGTATTATCAAATGAAATGATTTTTGATAGAAATCATTTGAAGATGGAGATTAGATTTGCATCAATCAGGATGGCTGAATTCACTGAAATCCAATCATCTGATATAGTAGCAAGGAAAGTGCTAGTTAAAACTTATTACATGTTACATTAAAAAAGAGATCACTATTACTTATTAATATTGGTTGTGTTGCTAAGATAAAACAGAACTCTCCAAATTTAATGACATTAAATCATACCCACTCTCTAGCGAAATGAACTTTTGGTCCTGTTATCTAGTATATCATGAAATATTTCTGGGAGTTCTATGGTGACCTTTTAAAAGAACACTATTATAACTTTTGGGCAATCTCCCTTTGCTTGAATTTGAATTATAGCTTATTAGAAGTGCCCCCTCCACCATTCCATAAAATTCAGAAAAAAAAGTAACCCTTCTTTCCCCATCCCTCCCACAGGTAATGTACCTTCTCTTTCTCTGTACAATCCAATTTTAAACTCTGTTTAAGACTAAATGGTAAGTTTCCCCTAACTTTTTCTAATGGTAATATCTATGGTTTTATTTTCTATTATGGTATATTTTGCTTACTAATAAAAAGAGGAAATTTATATGTTATTTATTTGGTGGAAAGTAGTTTACAAATTTATTGAACTGTAAGTATAAAACTTAGAATAGGAAGATCATTTTATTGGTAGAAAACTGGTCAACATCTAGTTTTAATTACTGGTACTTACCACCTTTAATTACTAGTTCTCGTATAAAAGAAGAAATCCAAATATCTGGTGAAAGTTATTGAATCCAAGTAACCTCCAATCTCTTAATATTTCTACAAGAAATGGGAGAAAATGTAGCTGTTTATTCAGAAGCAAATAGCTTCTTCAGTTCATTAGAATGTGTACTCAAAAAAATTCATCCAAGTGCCCTCAAATTAAGGATAAACTATCAAGGACCAATTTGTGGATACTTTATCAAATGCTTGAATGGAATATGCTTTGTTGTTGGAATCAGGTGACAAATGGATACACAAATCCCTCCGCAAACTGACTGAGCAAGAGGAAGAGCAGGAATGAGGATAAAGGAAGGCAGCCTCGGTAACTCTGGAAGTCAGAAAAATGATTAAAGATGTTAACAGTGGCTATAGAAAATCTATGCATCCCTGTTAAAATGCCAGGTTTTTGAAATGTAAAAAACAACAAATCAAACCAAGATAAATCACTTCATAATTTTTTCCACCTTTAACCTATAAGATGTACAATTCAATAGAAAAACAAGCTGAAATCTTTTAGGGATAAAAAAAATAAAAATAAAAAACTTGCACTACTGTGCTTGCATAAGTTTTTTCACCCTTAAGCTAATACTTTGTTAACATACTTTTTTATTTTAGGACAGCATTCAGTCTTTCGAGGTAGGAGCCTATCAACATGGCACATCCTTCCTTGGGAATATTTGTCCACTCTTCCTTGCAAAACAAGTCCAAATCTGTTAGATTGTGAGGGCAGTGATAATGTGCACAGCCTTCTTCAGCTCACCCAGAGATTTTCAATTGGATTTAAGTCCGGGCTCTGGCTGGGGCATTCCAAAACTTTGATTTTCCTCTGATGAAGCTATTCTTTTGTTGATTTGGGACAACTCTTTGAGTTGTTGTCATGTTGAAAGGTGAAATTCCTCTTCATTTTCAGCATTTTAGCAGAGGCTTGAAGGTTTTGTGCCAAAATTGACTGATATTTGGAACTGTTCATAATTCCTTCCACTTCGACTAAAGCCTCAGTTCCAGCTGAAGAAAAGCAACCCCAAAGCATAATGCTGCCACCACAATACTGCCCTGTAGGTATGGTGTACTTTTAGTAATGCACAATGTTGTCTTTGCGCCAAAACACACTTTTTGGAATTATGGCCAAAAAGTTCTATCTTGCTACCCTAGCCCACAGCCCAGACATACGAAGAATACAGGAGACTGTGTCACATGTAGTACACAACCACTACTTGCCAGAAATTTCTGCAACTTCTTTAATTGTAGGCCTCTTGTCAGCCCCTTGGTCCAGTTTTTTTATTTTATTTTAATTTTTTCTCTTAAAGATGATACAGACCACCCATTACGTCCAATTTATTCATACAATGTTGACTTCACACTTTCTAGGCCATTTTATGTATGCTACAACTTTGATTGGACTCTGTAGACTTCTGGCTCTGGATCCTTAAACTCTTGGCTTCTAGTCATATTGGCAACACCAACATTGTATCCTGACTATCAGACAGGGTCTCTTTTGTGGTTCAAGTGATGAAATGTGCATTGTGAAGTAATGAAAATGCTATTTTGGCCTCTGCAACCTAAGTTACTTAAATATTCCTGCTGCCAGGTTGATAGCACAAAATAGTGAGATTTGTGTCAGTAATTTTGATAGGAATGCCTGTAATTGTCAGAGAGAATTAATGACTCATGAAGAAAATAAATCTCTTTTGTTTGCTTCGTCATTTTCCTTAGTTTCTGATTACAAATAGGTTACTCTGGCACAAGCAACACTAAAAATCTCATCAGCTTCTTTTATTTGTTGGAGTGAAGAACACCGGTTCATTATTACGATGCTCTATCTGGTATTATAATCAGACTTTCACCAGGGAAAAAAGATTGTGCAGTTATTTCAGAAGCACTTTTTCCTATACTGTAATCTAAGTTTTGCATTTGCTCTATTCAGTTGGGAAGTATTGTTAGCCATAGCATTAATTTATATTAGCTATGACAGACATACTCTGAATTTTATTTTCTAAGTATAAAAAATGTTTTTAAAAAGGAATGAGAAAAAATAAATTTTCCATACATACATCGTTGTGCAGATAATTTCATCTTATAGCATCTCACTAAATCAATTACTAAGTTAAATACTGTTTTTCTTTGGGTTTTTTTTTATTTTTTAATGTTTATCCTTATTTAGATATGATTAAATGCTGTTTTGTCAGGAATCTCATTTAATGCATAATGATCCTGCAATTAAAAGTAAGTAAATTTATACTGCTTACATGTGTGTATAGTCCTTCCTCTTCTCTGAAAGACTGTAATGATGAAAACCATTTTTCACCTCTGTTTTCATCTACATACGTTTCTTTGTGGGTGAAAGGGAAACTATTTTGGGAATGGTCATTGACTAGTTTCCATACATCTCTAGATTAGATATGGTCATACGACAGAACCTGAATTGGACGAGGATCAACATGGAAAGAATGGGACAGATATGTGTAAATTCAGTCCATTTTGATTATGAAACCATGAATTGTTGGTGTTGGTTTGTTTTCATCATGTTGTTCTGCATTATTAAAAAGTCCTCCTAATGTTTATGTAGAACAGTGTTTCTCAGCCTTGGCAACTTTAAGATGTGTGGACTTCAGCACCCAGCATGCTGACTGGGAAATTCTGGAAGTCCACACATCTTAAATGTGCCAAGGTTGAGAAATACAGATATAAACTTTGTGCTGGTTATAGTGAAGGATAAAGATGAGACAGCACAAAAACATGAAAAGGAGTGTTTAATGTCTGATATATCTCTTCTTAACTCAAATTGTCTTAACACTACCTATCTACATATCCTTTACCATTGTCCAACTCTTCCTAAAATTTTGTTTGAAATTTGTATGGGTATTCCAACCCATAATTTACCACAATTTATCATCTGAGAGGTCGCTTAAAAGAAATACATTAAAGGAGCATATCTATACTTATTCCTACAAAATCTAACACTCCTCATTTCTTCCAAATTTCATCTGATAGAAGATAAGTTACATACATTTCTGCCTTTTTTCTGTAAGAATCTAACTCTGTTTCTTTTCCCCCCAGACTTTATTTGGACCTCGATGGTCATATCAAATTGCTTCTAGGATGACCCAGTCCATTAAGTATGTAGATGAAAATGTCAGCCAGTACAGCATCTACAAAAAAAGTTCTGTTTCTCTGAAAGAGGTATTTAAAAATATCAACCTGCATATAGATGGGCTGAGAAGGGCTAAGGAAAAAATAATAATTTTCCCTGTAATTAAACAAATAAACAAGCCCAAGTCATAGAGCAGACATATTTCAATATTTTTTAATGTGTGATGAATTTTATCCAATAAGGATCAAATTTGCTCTCATACAAGAGGGTCCAACATCCCAGAAACATTTCAGAAATACACACTAGAAGCTTAAGTAAGGAAGGTGTAGTAAACTACTAATAGCCTGAATTGATGGGTGATTTTTAATAGCAGGAAAATTTGGTCATGTTACCTTGTCCTTCTGGTTTAAATATCATCTAGCAGCTATTCAAAATCTTTTCTTTGATCTTGGGCATAACACTAGAAGTTAGGTAACATTTAGAGGAGGGACGCACTTCTGTAGAAAGCAAGTCATATATCTGTTGGCATGAGAGTTCCTAGGAGTATTTTAAAAAAGCATCGTGCAACATGTGGAATTTTTAAAAATGCCAAATAACTTGGGGAAGCTGTTCCAGTATCAGTTTTTATTTCCTACCATACACCAAATGTACAGCACAGAACACAGTTTTGTTGCTTTGATGTAAGAAATATTAACTGTATGAAGAAACAGTATACAAACTACCCAAAAATTAAAAAAAAAATGCATACATCATTGTCCTTTACAAAAGGTCTAATTTACAGGATAGCTCATCAAAGCAAATTAACCCAGAAAAAGGAAAGGAAAAAAAGAAAAGAAAGAAAGAATGGGAAGACAGAGGAAGGGAAGAATCACAGCTCACATTACAGAACATCAAATACAAAGAAGGCAAATAAATATGGAGGTACATCTTGAGCAAAAATCCAAACACAGATAAATTAACTGAAAGCCATAGTAAATAATAATAGATTAAAAAGAGATTGCTTAATTTAATTTAAATAAAATATAGAATTACTTTCTTAAAATATTTAGTACATTACTTCTTACTTTTTGTCATGGGTGAATGCCTTTGTATGCCTTAAACTGGCGTCAGCAAATGTCTTATAACAAACAAACCAACCAACAAGTACAATAATTTAATAGCAATTTGGTGTTCTAATTTATATTAGCACATACTGTAGCTTTGTCAAATTGTTTTCTTTAAAAAATAAGCACAGCTTCTAAGAACATACACCTCTCCTGTCTAAACTAAGGTCTGAGGGCCAAGCCAGTCCCTCCACGCACAAACAGCAAGCCCACCTAATGCCAAAGAGCAATCACAGCATATGAAAATTGGAGAATGACCGAGAGGCAGTCTATGGATAGGAACACTACGTGTATGAATGAAGACTCTGAGCAGGGTCATACCCAGTTGAGATAAAATGTTGGCAAATAAAACTAATCATGGGCATTGTAGCACCGAAAAAATAAAGCCGATGCTGTAGCCATTATACATTTTCCACTGAGGCACATATGCACATGAGATATGTACGGATGGGTAAAGGCAGTTCAGCTGGTAGCTTGTATTTTCTTTTTTAAAAAATTAATGTTAACTTTCTGGAAGGGGGAAAATTATTATTATCATCCAACATCCCTAAAATAGATGTTGGATCTTTGTTCAGAGCAATTACAAAACAGGAACTGAACAGAGGTTATAAAAGGGCTCACCTTGGACAAATGTGAACGTGTTTCTAAATGAGGGCTTACAGACTGCAACATTTGAAGACCTCCTTTGCCATCATCAGTGGAAACTGAAACTTGCTGTCACCTCATTCAAAGTTATAGAAGACTCCAGTATGTACACTAATCATTTCTGGATGTTGTCTGTTTTCTTCGGTGTAAAAATCAGTTTTCTCAACTAAGCCACTCCTAAGATTTACTACCAGTTGATGTTGACTGGTAGTTAACATCAACTGATTCATTGAGCTGAATAATAAGTAGTGTTTAATGTCCTTGCTTTGTGGTATGTACAAAATCATCAACTTGGGAAGCACTTTTCCAATATGAAATTATATTGATAGTGGTAAACAGAAAAAATGTTTTTCCCCCCAGCTTCTGTACTTCGAACCTATCTTATTTGAACGATTAAACAGTTTGATCTTCCTTCATGAATGAGCATGAAATTGGGGCAATGAGAAAGTATCCTTCATCAATCCAGTCTTTCCCTGAATGGTTTCAAACAATTGTTTCATGTAGGCTAAGGCTGCAGCTGGATCCAGTGGTTTGCTGATTGCTTTATTTCATTATTGCTACAAAAATTCTTGAACTCTTACTGCATGCTGTGCTCAAGGCGATTAGCCACTAGAGGGCACCATCCACCTTGGTATCACTGGGTCTTTGCCTCTCATGCTATTTGCAAACCCATTTCTTATTTCATAAAAAAAAATTGTTATAAAAAGCAGGATGTGGTGAAAATAAACTAGAATCACAGTTCTGTTACTTTGTTTCTTTCATAGTATTTTTTTTTCTTCCTGTACAAACCCAGCACATTATTTAATTTACACTATAACTTTCAGTCTATTTAAAATCCCATTGGAAAATAAATTAACAAACACATTTGTAAAAATATGGTAGGCTGCAAGAAATGCTGTTAAACAATCTTTTCTTTAAAAAAAATCCATACAACTCTTTGATTGAAAATAAATTAAAAATAAATGTAAAAAAATAGTTACACACACTTTGTACATTCACTTTACAAAAATGAAACAAGTGCAAAACGACAATGGCAACAAAAAGGATTTGTACAGAAATAAATATGTTTGATGATCTAACTCATTGCTGTTAATACAATAGTCTGTTATGTTTAATGTCCTTTTTATGTCAGCTGGAAAAAAATAGTGCAATGTTGTAATTAAAAATGCAGCACAGCAACCAATATTTCTAAGCAGTCCAGGTGCTTTTCATGGATTCATCTGGAATTTGCAGCTGCTGAGACCTTCTTGTTCCAGCAGTTCTTCCATCCTACACATGAATACCCTTCACTGCTTGCTTGATACTTTCCAGCAGAGCCTTGCAATCTGGGGAATAGTCCCTTTCCAGATTGCTGTACATATCTGTGAGCGTATTCACGTATGCTTCAAAATTCTGCTCGCTGATTGGGCCCTAAATAAAGGCAAAGGCATGACACAAAACAAAGAAATCAAAGATCAGTGGGATGTTAGCAAGAGAGAGATTTTTTATCTGTGGACTGCAGACCTGAATCTGGCTGAGATGCATGGGAACTGAGTTTTTAAAATCTAAGTCAGAACTTTTTTTTTTCTTGTGAAAGCAATCCGTTGGAATCATGTTAAATGGACACCCCTTTTCTCTCTGCCTATCCCTCTTTCTGTAAGTGCATTCACTTGTAATGCTAGTATACTTGCCATATTACAAACAAGTAAAAGGCTTGTCTATACCATCTGCCTTGGATGTCCCAGCAAGTTGTGGCAGGCAGATATATGTAATTCTTCATCATCTGTGGCTGCTACTTGAACATCACAAGAACATCTGTGAAGATATCACTTTTTTGGGTCTTAAAACAACAGGCATATGGAGGCTTGATTGAGTTGCGATATGATTCAAGGCAGAGGCAAGTGATTTTATTTTATTTTTTGCCCAGGGACTCTGTTTGTGTCTGAGTATGTCTGTTTAAATCTTTGAACATACATGGGTGATGTGATGATACCATGAGTGGTTCTTGTGTGGGTTACTCTTACAGTATTTATCTACTTCCCTGTTTCAACATGTGGCCCTTGGCCATAGATATTGTGGCCATAGAACAATGGGGAGCCTTTTCCCTTTTTGCCAACTGATCACTGTCATCTGGTTTGCAGCAGAAGTGGAATTTTATTTCCCTGCTGCCATTAATGGAAGGGGACCAAGTAACTTGGTCTATATTGGTCCCCTGCTCATGGGGCTGACAGGGACCAGATGCTGGTTTCCCATTGGTAATGTTGGCAAATAAAAGCAGTACACCGTATGCCATTGGCAAAGTCACTGTATGTGTATAGGTTCAACCTTTGGATTTGATATTAGAAAAGAAAATCATTATCCATCTTCATGTTAGCTGTGTAAGATAGTACAGGTAGTCTTCGACTTGCAACAGTTCATTTAGTGACCGTTCAAAGTTACAGCATCACTGAGAAAAGTGACTCGTGACCGTTTTTCACATTTACAACCGTTGCAGCATCCGATTGGTCACATGATGAGAATTTGGCTGCTTTGCAGCTGCAATTTATGAAGGTTGCACTGTCCCGGAGTCATGTGATCTGTTTTTGCGACCTTCTGACAAGCAAAGTCAATGGGGAAGTCAGATTCACTTAACAACTGTGTTACTAATTTAACAACTGCAGTGATTCACAGAAAGGTCATAAAATGGGGCAAAACTCAAGTAACAAATGTTTCATTTAGCAACATACATTTTGGGATCAAATGGGATTGTAGTTGTAAGTTGGGAACTACCTGTATATCTCTTATCTCTCTACAAGATGACTTGTCCCACTCCAAAAATATTATTCTTTTCTGTTTAAAGAATTGTCATTATTCTATCTGGAATTGCTAATACAGATTTTTCCATAATTTTATAGTGGGATTAATAGAATAGAATAGAATTGTTTATTAGCCAAATGTGATTAAACACACAAGGAATTTATTCATAAGCTCTCAATGTACCGTGTTTTCCCCAAAATAAGACCCTGTCTTATATTTTTTTGAACCCCAAAATAAGTGCTTGGCCTTATTTTCGGGGATGTCTTATTACTTTGGGGTGCGTGGAGCAAGATGGGGCTCCTCTTGCCGTCTTACCTGATTTCCAGCTTTGTCTCCCTAACCCTAACTAGAGGAAATGGCGGGAACCACCTGTGCATACATTTATTTTTTGGGGGGCGGGTATTTTGGGCGGGCTTATTTTAGTGCATGCGCTCAAAAGCCCGATTTGGCTTATTATCAGGGGATGTCTTATTTTAGGGGAAACGGTACATACAACAATAGTGATAATGGATTCTGCATCATAATTTTCTGTTTGACAGCTCTGCAAGATGCTATCGTATACTTCTCTATTCTTCGACTCTTAGAGAAAGTGCAGAATTCTTAGTCACAAACATACTGTACCATTTGTGGAAGTTGAATGTCGGCAAGGCTGGATATGAGAGCTTGGCTTAAGCCAGCTAGTTCCTTCAATAGGCTCTCATTATTCTGCTCTATCAGTTTATTCTCTTCTTCTATGGTTTTCAGATTGCTCTCCATTGATGTGATCTGAATCCATAAATAAAAATGAGAGATGGCAGAATGAATACTTAGGCTCTTGATATAAAGCTACAACTACGTATGAGAACTTGCTCTGAAAGACCAAGCAGAGGAGATGCAACCTTGAGGCTCACAAAACTGTGTTAACAATATTCCTCAGAAAAATGCTAATTTTAGCAACACATTATTGTTTTTGAAAAAGTGTAGAGAAATGGAATTTGTTTGCCGCCTGCTTCCATTTTCCCTTCCCAACACTTCCACTTGTGGAAAGTTGCCTGTCTCCACTCTAAACAGCAGCAGAAAGCCTTTAGGATGAAAAGAACAAGTATTTGTTTCCTTGCTTGTTTTGTGGGAGTTCACAGGTGGATGAAAGGCCCCAATTTGACAAAATAGGAGAAGGCTTAGCGGTTGGTTAAAAACGCCTGGTTAAAAAAAGAATGTTGCCATTGGGCATACAGAAAAAGAAGCAAACAGACTGCTGTTTACATTGCTGATTTTTTTCCCCTTGCAGCATCCCTGCTGACTCACTACAATAATAACAGCCTTGGTATTCGCACTAGAGCTAGATAAGGCAATGCTGTAGGATGACTGAGATTATAACATTTCTGAATGTAAAAATAAAAGAAACAGGATAGAAAAAAAAGATGGACCCTCTTCAACAAGAAAGGCTAACAAAAATATCATTTTGAATGAATGATCCATCACAGTAAATAATCCTAGATTAGGAGCACCAATAAAACCTATACATTCTTTAAAAAAACAAATATTTCAGATGATACAGTATGAGTCAAGTGAGAGCTAAGCAAAGACAGATCTGTCCATTTTGTGTGGGCTCCACTGGCCATCACAATAAGCTGCAAACTTTCCATGAGTTTCTCATCACTTTGAAATTCTCACCACTGTTTGCATGCTGCTATGGTGCCAGATTTATGAGTGCAATTATAGGACTGCACATTATGCATTACAAGCAAATCTATATTTAGGAAATATGCAGTATATAGTTAGCATTCCAAAGTTAGAGATTTAGTCACTCCTTGTGAATGTGTTAACTATTCGTTACAATGGAAACTTCTGATAACTCTCCTGTGCTCAGGAAGAAAAGAAGGCATTCCATAAGAGAAGAGCTCTTGCAAATTGCCTACAGATTCTTTCTTACCATATTTCACTGGTAAAGGAGGCTCAGCAAGCAGATTCCATTTAGAATTAGTGGTCTGCAGATAATCAGGCACAAGCCAGATAGGATTTTAAAGGTTACAAACATTTGTCTTTAAGCCAGAAATAAACCTATGATATTAGTCTTATAATGACAGCATGCTGCATTGTGCATTGATTGCAATTTCTTGATGGTTGTGAATGTGGCCACGCGTGTGGTTATAGGAGCGACATGGTGTTCCCATGTAACACCTCTCCTGCGCAAGCTGCACTGGCTCCCGGTGGTCTTCCAGGTGCACTTCAAGGTCTTGGTTACCACCTTTAGAACGCTCCATGGCTTAGGACCTGGGTACTTACGAGACCGCCTTCTGCCACCAGTAGCCTCTCACCGGCCAGTACGTCCCATAGAGAGGGGCTCCTCAGGGTGCTGTCGGCCAAACAGTGTCGACTGGCGGCCCCCAGGGGGAGAGCCTTCTCTGTGGGGGCACCTGCCATCTGGAACGAGCTCCCCCCGGAGATACGGAGGATCCCAGACTTACGCACTTTCCGCTGTGCCCTCAAGACCTTTTTATTTCAACAGGCTGGCCTGGCCTGGCCTAACCTCCTTTTAATTGTTAATTTTAAATTTGTTTTAAAACAATAGGGGTGTTTTAAATTGTTTGGGCCAAATTATTTAATGTGCTTTTATATTATTTTTAAATTTTGTATTATGTATGTTTTATCTTTTGGCTGTTCACCGCCCTGAGTCCTTCGGGAGTAGGGCGGTATATACATTCAAAGTAAAGTAAAGTAAAGTAAACTGCTCATTACGTATCTATATACTATTTAAATTCTCATGCATGTAACCTTTAATTGGGCAAAATGGTTTACCATGGAGCAGAACTTTTTCACCTCAAATAGGCTAACTTACGGAATGTGTCAAAAATCCTGCGGAATTGAAATTTGGCAAATTTTATAAAACATTTTATAACATACAATTTTTATCATAAAGCATTTTATGACATCAAACAAAATGACACAAAACATTTCTTGCAGGCAACCTCTGATGTTTGACTGTGCTGTGTGCAGTTCAACGTGGGCTACTTTCAAGGCATCTCTCTGAATTTTTAAAGAACTTTTCCAATATGCAAGAAGCTCTGCCAGTGTTGAAGGTATTGAGGAATCTGATAAGGAATGGGGTATCTCTGAAAGAAGGATCCAACAGGTCACAGACTGTCTAGTTGCATCCTAACATGATGAGGATATGACTTTAGCCACAGTCTTCTGCTCTAAGATTGGCCACAACTGACACACCAGTCATAGCTGGGCAAAGGACTCACTGGTCATAGCTTTTAACTTCTGTTCTACTAGGAGATAAGAGTACAGGATTTTGAAATTGCTCACTAGCTTTTTCTAGGGGAATCCAGCTCCTTTCACAGCCTAAAGTTGGTTTTATTCTGGAATCACTCAGCTTCAGAAGCCACTGCTACGGTCTCCAGACCCTGGATTTATATTCCACCACATATTGATGATACCAACCCCAGGCTGATAGTTAATCTCTTCCAGAGGCTTCATGTAGATGTTAAATAGAAAAGAAAGTTGATCTCTGTGGCATCCTGTTGAGGGGCTCAAACTATCTTTTGCCCAACCCGTCTCAAACCATCCACTTAGGAAACAAACCATCACAAAATAAGCTCCTGACTTCTAAGCCTCACAGATGATCCAGAAGGATACTGTGGCTAACAGTATTCAAGACTGCTGAAAGATGCAGAAGGACTAAGAGGATCATGTTCTCAGGTATCTAAACCTCAACCATCATCAATAATGACCATTCTAATTTCTATCCTCTGCCCACCTGGATTGTGACTGAAAAGATTGCAGATAATCCTTCCTACAATCTACTTTAGAAGACAACTGGAATCCTAATAAAACCACCCTGCAGACTGCTGGTAACTCCAAATGCCATTCGGCAGCTAGTAGAATCTATTCTATGCTGGGATGGGCTGATCTAATTAGATTTATCTCCTTGCATAGATCAGTAAAGCCAGCCAATTCCATGGTCACTGAAAAGTGATCTGTCAATGACAATGGACTAGTTCTTATATCTACCACCAACAGATCATGCCTCAATTGCTCCAAAGTATAAACCAGGTTTCATATGTGGCCTCCTAAGCATTGGACTGTGATAACTTGGCACAAACCCACAGTTGTCATGAGCACTATGATCTCCCAAGCTGTCTCAGAATATCACCCCCTCATGGATGGCTGTTTGAGATCATCTATACCAGGAGTGTCAAATTCGATTTCATTGAGGGCTGCATCAGGGTTGTGTTTGACCTGGGGGGGGTGCACTTGACCTGGGGGGTGGCCAGGGGGCATGGCCAGCTCAACATCACTCGTGTTGGGAGCACCTGTGGTGGCTCAAGTGCTCTGCCAGCAAAAATGGGCTCCTGAGCTCCGTTTTTGATTGCGACAGCTTCCGGCAACCCTCTGCCAGCAACAACAGAGCTCTGGAGGGCTGTGGGTGGCCCTTGTAAGCTCTGTTTTTGGATGCAATGGCCTTCTGCAACCATCTGCCAGTGAAAACGGAGCTTGTGAGGCCTACTGAGCTCCATTTTCACTGGCAGAGGCACTGTGGGCCGGTCTTCACTGTTTCCAGGGCAGCTCCGTGGGCCAGGTCTAAGCACCCCATGGGCTGGATCTGGCCTGTGGCCCTTGAGTTTGACACCCCTGATCTATACTATTAAGTATCTAAATCACCACCCATAGTGAGGAACATGTTTAAGCTCTTTTAATTTCTTTTTCCAGTCCTTTCTTTCTCTTTCATGCTTTTTCATAGCACATCATTTTAAAATACTTCACTTTTCTTCTTCCTTTCTTTCCAATAGATCTGGCAAACAAACATTCCTAGACTCAGCCTCAAGCAATATGAACCACTTGCCGTGTCAGGATAGTCAGCATTTTAAAACTCAGCCGGTAGTGCTCAGTGGCAGCCAAGGCCTTAGTGTGGGTCCAACCAGGAAGAGGCAGAACATGTGCCAACTGGCAAATAGCACACAGGGAAGTGTTCATGTGTTGTTCATGCTGTTACCATCTGTCACTATTGCCCCCTTTTCCTGTTCTTCTGAGGATGAGCTGCACACAGAGAATGTCTGTACTGACCTGGTCACCAGTATTCTTCTTTAGCAACGGCCTTCATTTCCCCCCCCATACCAAGCTAACTTTCTGAAGAGTAGGAGACTAGATCCTTTCAAGCACTAAAAGGGGTGGCTGGGGAAAAACATGTATTATTGCTATATTTCAGTGAAATAGTTACATTCTTACCTGTGTCTGGAGTTTCATCATGTCAGCTTCAATTTTAAGGTTGGATTCATTTAGTTCTTTAATTTCTTCATCCAAATGTCTGATTTCCTGTTCATTCTCTAAACCTGCATAAGATTTACCAGTTCAAATCAAGTATAAAATTTCTTCCTGAAAATATTCATATCTGTCTTTAGAAACACTGTGAAATTGAGGCTTAAATCGGTTAGATACCCACCCATTTAACTGGAATCAAAACTAGATATTAGCAATTTCATTCTACACTTATCAGAATCAATATAAAATTCTCCGTTGTGACATATCAAGGACCAGGAAGTTATGAAGGGTTTCAAAAGGCTCATGCATGTCCACTACATTTCTCAATATTTTCCTTATCTTCCTGCTTTACTACTGATTTAGATGCCTGTTGTTCAGGAAGTTTTATATGTAATGGGAACACAGTTTTGGTATGTAATCTATGCATCAATGTCAGCTATATTTATATATCAATTTCAGCTATGTGAAACAGGCCCAAACATTAAGCTATATGTGTTGTATTATATAGGAGTAGGGACTGCTGATCTTCTCTTGCATATCAGTAAAGTGATGAAGTGGTAAATATAAATTTATAATTAATGCAAATACATCTATGCACATGCATAATCATAAACTTCAATAGCTTTAAAAAGGGAATCCATGGTGGCTAATAAAAATGACTATATGTTACCTATATTCAATATCTACTGATGGAAGACAGAGAGCAAAGTGTATCACATAGATACTGAGGGAAAATAATACATAGTCAAACCTTTCGCAATAATACTATTATATTGCGCCACAACAGTTCTTATAATTATCAGTAAATGAATGGGTTGATACTATATTTATGCAATCTAATCTCCTTACCTCCATTTGCTTTCAACTTAACAGTCATTAGTTCTTCAGATATTTTGCCTTTTTTTAAGGCTTGTGCATTCAGGGGACATCCAGACAAACTAAAAAGAGTAGGAAAGGGGACCTATATGAAAGTTGAAACATATTTTGATTGCCACAACTCAGCTTCCAACTTCTTGTCAGTATAAATCCATTTTACTGTGCTTTCCATTATGCTCCATCCTTATAATAATGTCAATACAATAGCATTTGTTGTATATGATTTCCACTGACATGCCTACAATTGTCTATTCATTGTTCAGTTCTATTATGGCTGCACCTTGATAGCACTTGCTTCAAAGCACCAAATCTGATATTTTTGCATTACTGTTTTACTAATAGCCACACCAGCTACATTCATGCTAGAAAATCTATGACCTTAAAGTCACATTAGAAGATCAACAGGACAAATTATGCACAGTTTATGATGCCCATTCTTCAAAGGTCTATAAAATATTAGTTCAGTGATTTGATCCTAGGAATAATTTATTGTTATATAGCAGGGATGGGCAATTGTGGCTCTTTTACAACCTGTGGACTTCAACGCCCAGAATTCTGGGAGTTGAAGTCCAGAGGTTGTAAAAGAGCCACAATTGCCCACCCCTGTTATATAGTATGCATAAGTATTCATTAAAGGTTCTAGCCCCGATCATCCCTGAAAGATGAGCTATTTAAAATGCATGCAAAATCAGTTGAATAGGATTGTCAAATAAACAAAACTCCATTGATTTATAGATATTTGCTGAGAGAACGGGAAAAGGGGGAATAAAAACAAAGGGATACCTTCTGTGGGTGACAAAAACATTATTAACGTGACCCAGCCCATTGCAGCCTGGCAAAGGGCAGTGTGGCAGCTCTTGCTTGTTCAACTTCCAGGGTAGTGAAGATCCATTGAGAGGACTTTCCTTCTGTCTCTTGGTAGCCATGGGACAACCTGAAGCTGTGCGATGGGAAGTGTATTTACCTGATACATGACCTTGGCCATCACAGCCGAGCACTGGACATCTGTAGGAGCACAGCAAAACTGATATTTGTCTAAAGATCTCTCTTTAGACAAATAAATTCAAATTAGCAAAATAATATGCACGTCCAGGATTTTTAATCGAAAGCTCTTAGCATATTTGATCTCATAATTGACATAAGTCACCAGAGCTATAATGCGGATTGCTTTGGAGTGAGAGTTCTGTGTTAACCCACATTATATCTTGGCATTTTCTGTAAACTTATCTTTGTGTTAACCCACTCATTGCATTTAGTGAACAAGCCAAGGTTAGTCTACCAGAGCCACTTTAAAAGATTTAAAATATCCAATGATATTTCATCATAGAGACTTGATAGTTATTACATTTATCAGCATCTGTAACTGCATGAATAGTTGCCAATCAAACTCAGGGTAGGAAAAAAATTGCTGAGATTATATTCAGGGAAAGGATTAGAAACGTTCCTGCATTACACCTTTTTGGCAATATTAGGAACGTTGGTGTTCACTGAAACCATAAAACTAGCTTTTGTAACTTTATTTAAATTTGTTATTATATATGCATGCTTATGTTAGTGAGATCAACTGGGGTGTGTTTTGTGATTTACCACAAACCTTTGGAAGCCTACTTACTTAAGTTCAGGATCTTCTTTCTCTTCCTTTGTAGGAGTCACTTTCAGACCACTTTTCCTGGCCCGAGGACAGCCAGACAAACTAAAGAAAAGTATGCAAAGCAGTTTATTTCTCTTTCTGAGTCCCAATGTTTTACTTTTGAATAAGTAAAGGGTCTGTACCTTCTGTGAGAGGCATAATTTCCTGTCACATGACCAGAGCCATCACATCCAGGGGTGGGGCACCTATCAAACAAAATACAGAGAAAAAGAAGAAATGTTTAAATAAATCCTATCTTATTAAATTGAGAACTTTAGCAAAAGTTTCAATTTTACTTTCTTGCTTTGCAATTTTACTACTTCATGGTGAAAATCCAGAAAATGTGAAAAAATATCTCTTATCTTTAACTTAAAGTTTGTATTATTTTTACTCTGTGAAAAAACTTTTATATGTATATTTAAAAATTCCTTCTCATCCCTATGAGTGGTACGTGTGTTTCTCAATCTTGGGGATTCTGCCAGAGGCTTGGGAGTTTGAAGGTTCTGCATGGTATCTTAGCCGTTCCTAGCACTGCATGCATCTGGACAGAAAGCTTTGATCTTCTTCCTGAAATTTGTTGGAAACATTGTTCCAGTTTGGCAGCCCTGAAATACTCCTATCACCACAGGGACCATTCGGCTTTTACTTTCGACATCCTTTCCAGTTTTCACTTCTGGTCTGATACTTCTCGAGCTTCTCATATTTCCTCTTCCTGATGATGCTGTCACTTGGCACCACTACATCTATTACCAGCTCTGTCTTCTGCTTCTTATCTACCATCATGATCTCTGATTGATTGGCCAGTACCTGTGTGCCCATCTGGATCTGAAAATCCCACAGAATCTTAGTCCTGTTATTCTCTATGACTTTCTGTTGAATATCCCATCTGAACTGGGGACAGTCCAACCCATACACAGTGCAAATATCTCTGTACACAATGCCAGTTGCTTGGTTGTGCTACTATTCTTATCTGCATCTTATACCCTGCCACTAGGGTTTGACTGTATCTGAGGCCTATCTCCACAGCCTGCACTTTGGATCGTGTATGGATTTGGTGCTTGATGCTAGTTCTTATGTTGCTATGATCAGTGCCTCAATGCTGTCTTTTAATCAAGCTTTATTTTCTTATGAATTGTTCTGTTAGCAATTTATAAGGAGGCTTCGATGGTTGCTGTAAAGTACCGGTATATTGCCCACAAGTAACTCCTGAGACATACCTTAGCTGGACAACCAAGTTATTTTGACTTAAAAAAATCTGAAAGTAGAATATGTATGCATCTGTATCTATAGTATATGTATTTATTTTTTAATTATATATAATTGTATGCTTCCAGCTTCACTTCCAGTACAATCATATAAAAGCATTGATAAAACATAAAACACATCACCCTATCATCCAAAAATTGTGGTATGCGTACCCTGGCCTAGAGTAATTTCTGCACTCTTCAAACATGAAATGCCAGGTAAAAGAACTCAGGTTTGACTGCCCTATAGAAAACTGTAAAAAGAACATTGTCTGCGCCTCTGAAGTCAGGTGTTCCAAAGGAGAGAGACGTAACTTATAGAGTAGTGGGAGATGCCTCTCTCCTTTGATCTCTTCTGAAGTTCTTAACATATTTCTCTGGACTGAATGCACTGAACAGATCAACTCAAGAGTCAGTCTTTGAGACTCACAATACTGTCTAGGGTCAGGACTGGAGTGTCTCACTAGAACAGAATTTCCAGCCATTCATTTCCAGAAGAGGTTATTCCTGATTCCTCAACAGGTATACAGTAGCTATGCACTTCCATCATGTACTTTAAACTTGACCTTGGACAAGAGTCTTATTCTTCAGTTCAAAGCTACTCTACCAGCAGCAGATGGTGAATAGAAAACATCTAAATGTCAATAGCTAAGTTCACCCTTCCTCTTCATCCTTTTATTATTTGTCAGTGGGATTTACCACTGTTTTTTTTAAAAAAAGGACATTAAGATTCAACTATTATTATTGATCCTAATATAATGTTCAACTATTGTTAATGATCCTAATAGAATTATTATTATTATTATTATTATTATTATTATTATTATTATTATTATTTAATCTTTAATGAGATTCACAGCCTTTGAGGCTGGTTAATAGCTCAGCAGCTCGAGTTCTAATCAAAGACCTAGGAACTGTTAAGGTATCGTCGGAGGATGTAAGCTGTTCCGAGTAAGGTGGTTTTTTGTAGAGTCAAAATGTTCAAATCCAGCAAATTTAGAATTTCTAAATAGAGAGGTAGCCCTTTAGGTATTGCTCCAAGGGCTCCAATTACAATCGGGACAACACACAATTTCTTTTTCCACAGTCGCTCAACTTCAATTTGCAAATCCTGGTACTTTGTGATTTTTTTCTTGCTGCTTATCTTCAATCTGTGCATCACCAGGTATTGCAATGTCAATGAACCATACTTTTTTCTTTTCAACTATTGTTATGTCAGGTGTGTTGTGGACCAAGTGCTTGTCAGTCTAAATCCTAAAGTCCCACAAGATCTTGAGTTTCTCATTCTCTAAAACTTTCTCAACCTGATGTTCCCAGTGGGTTTTGCTGTACTCAAATCCAAACTTCTGGCACAATTTCCAGTGAATGATCTTAGCAACATGGTCATGGTGTTGTAGGTAGTCAGTTTGTGAAATTTTGCTGCACCCACTGATCAGGTGGTCGACTGTCTCATCTTTCTCTTTGCAGAGGCGGCATTTGCTGTTGGTGGTAACATGTTGAATGTTTGCCTTCATGCAGTTTGTGGCTAGGGCTTGTTCTTGAGCTGCCAAAATAAAACTTTCTGTTTCTTTTTTCAGTACTCCTGATCTTAACCAGTTCCAAGTTAGTTTCTGGTCAGCTTTGCCTTCAATACTTTTCAAGTATTGGCCATGCAGAGCTTTGCTTTTCCAATTTTCAGCTCGCTGCTCAATTACTTCTTTCTTATATTATCCTTTTGTTTTAGTTGTCTTTAAAAGGCCTCCTTTATTTACTTCCTTAATCATTGGTTCTTCACTTTTCTGGATGTAATCCTTCAAGCTGCGTTTTTCTTCTTCCACAGTCTGCTTTACTTGTAGGAGTCCTCGACCACCCTCTGCTCTTGGTAAATATAATCAGTCAACATCACTTTTAGGGTGCAAGGAATGATTCATTGTCATAAGCTTCCTTGTTTTTCTGTCCAAATTGTCTAACTCCATCTGGGTCCAGTCAATTATTCCTGCAGAGTATCTAATCACAGGTATAGCCCAGGTATTTAGGCTTTTATGATGTTTCCTCCACTCAATTTGGACATTAATATCTTACGAATTCGCCGAATGTACTTGGCTGAAGTTAATTCCTTGACTTTATTATGCATTAAGTCAGAGGCTTCTAAAATCCCTAAGTACTTGTAGCCTTCTTCTGATTTTACTGCCTTTATCATTTCTTCATTCTCTAGTTCCATTCCATCCTCTTCTATGATCTTGCCTGCTTTGGTTGCTATTGTTGTACATTTGTCAATTCCAAACTGCATACCGATGTCTTGGCTGAATTCTTTTGTATTTTCAATTAATAAATTCAGTTCAGCTTTTGTTTTACCAAACAGCTTCAAATCATCCATGTACATCAAGTGCGAGATTTTCAGTCCTTTCTTTGCAAGTTCGTATTCACAGTTCATCTTCTTCAAAATGATTGTCAGTGGTAGCATTGAGAGAATAAAAAGTAGGGGTGAAAGGGAATCGCCCTGGAAAATGCCTCGTTTAATTTCAACTTCACCCAGTTCTTCTTCATTAGCCATAAGTTTCGTTTTCCAGAGGTTCATTGAAGATTCCATGAATTTTTGTACGTTGCTGCTGATGTCTAAGTTTTTCAGGCATTTCTTGATCCAGCTATGGGGAACTGAATCAAACGCTTTTTTATAGTCTATCCAAGCCATGAACAGGTTGGTTCGTCTTTTCTTTGAGTTCTTTAGGATTAGCTTGTCAATCAGCAATTGATCCTTTGTTCCTCTTTGAGTTTTTGCAGCATCCTTTCTGTTCTACAGGAAGCAAGTTATTTCTTTCCAGGTATCCATAGATTTGGTTTGCAATGATACCAGTAAGAAGCTTGTATGTTGTTGGCAAACAGGTGATTGGCCTATAGTTTCCAGGGTCCTTTCCTTTTTCTTTATCTTTTTGGATCAAAAATGTCCTTCCAGTTGTCATCCATTCATCATTTTCAGGTGTTTTTAGGATCTGGTTCATCTGGGTTGCCAATCTTTTGTGCACACTTGTAAGTGCCTTTAACCAGAAGCCATAGAGGCTATAATTATTATTATTATTATTATTATTATTATTATTATTATTATTATTATTATTATCTTTATTGCACTCAGGTTCCCCTCGCACATATGTGCTAGTCGTTCCTGACTCTAGGGGGCGGTGCTCATCACCGTTTCAAAGCCGAAGAGCCAGCGCTGTCCGAAGACGTCTCCATGGTTATGTGGCTGGCATGACTCAACGCCATTCATAAATGCACTCATAGCAGCATCTAATTTATGGGACGTTTGGATCAGCCTGTTCTCCATGCAATCAAGCTGGTGGGTCTGGATCATTTTAATGTTTATACTATTAGAAACTCATCTGCAAAATGGGGGGAATAAGTCTCCAACACTACCACCACTGTTGTCATTATAGTCCTCCAGGAGATAGAGGACAAGGGTTTTACCACAATACTTATCTAATTGGATTCTTTCCCACCCATGAGCACATCTGTCTGAACTTTCCATCATGCAATTTTAATTACAAGAGATTGGAATGGCTTAATTAAGCTGAAGAAAGAAAATATTCCTGGTAAAAGTGATTTATGATGTTTGAAAAAAGAGAGTACAAATAACCTTACTTGCTGTTCTTATTAAATAATGGATTTTGAGGAAAGAAAACCCTGTAAAGAAACATATCAGTCAATGCCTCCCCCTTTTTTTTGGAACAAATACATACTTAAGCTCTTGAGAATTGGCCGCCATTAAGGATTTTAACGTCTTGTCAGCCAAAGGACATCCAGAAACACTAAGAAAAAGAAATGCAAGAGAATTTTAAGGATATTGTAACAAAATAATAATTAAAAAGATTACTGGTTTTTTTTTCTTTTTAAAAATAAATTAAAAGCTTAACCAAAGTAAGAGGCACCAAATCTAAATCTAAGGCTTCAGGATTATTTTATTTTTTTTTGTAACTTAAATTTCAGTAAGTACATGCAGGTGAAGGAGATCTTGTGAATTACCAAATCCAAAGTATTTAATATTTTACAAATTAAAATATATTTTAAATTGGGCCCAGAAATATATATTGGTCTTGGTAAATACATAGCTATTATTACAACTTCCGATTGCAGTCTTGTATCTTTATAGTTTGTTAAATGCTTTCACATTTCATTTTTTTTACCTGCGGTGAGATGCATAGTTTCCTGTCACATGACCACTGCCATCACATCCTGGAGTTGGACACCTAAGAAAATAAAGTGAACCAGTTAGACACAAATTAATTGGGAAAGACAGAGAAAACAAATGGGTTCTCTTTAAGAAAAAAAAAAGCATAAGGGGGAATAACTATCTTCTGCTGGAGGAACCATGTTCTGCTGCTCTCCATGATCATTGGGCTGTGCAAAAGATTTGATGTATTTCAGTAGTCTGTCCTTCAGTAGGGTTGGCACAATTGTTTTAGGAGGTACCTGTGTACAAGCAACACTCATAGTACTGACAATATGAAGTGGCTATATATTCACTGACATGCATGGATAATTTGGAAAACCTCTTGAAGCAACTGCACAGAGTCTTCTAGAACAGTGTTTCTCAACCTTAGCAACTTTGAGGTGTTTTGACTTCAACACTCAGAATTCCTCAAGCAAATAGGTGGAGAATTCTGGGAATTGAAGTCCACACATCTTAAAGTTGCTAAGGTTGAGAAACACTCTTCTAGAGGATGTTCCTGTCTCTGGGCTTTGAGGAGAGGCATTCCATTCAAGCCACTATGCTTTCCGAAGTGTTCCTTGAAATACTTTATATAATGCTATGTGTTAGTAATGAGGAAGCTGTCTCTTCTTTCTGTCCTTGTAATGGACTTTAGGGAAGACCGGTTTTATGGGTAAGCAAGCTCATATTTCAATATTTCTGAGAAGGGGGAGGGAGAGAGAGAGAGGGAGAGGAAGAGAGATTCTCTATATGCCTGGTTTAATTTCTCTTTATCAAGATCTGAACCTTAGTTCAAATCCTGGTTTGAAAAAAAAAATTAAACTTCTTCTCCTTATACTTGGAAACAATGACTTCCACTGCTAGTTAAAAAAAAGAAAAATAAATGAAGTTTACTACTGGTTTAGCCGATGCTGCTATTACCTATTGTAAAAAGTCAAAAGTTCCACATATATGGAAGAAAGGTATGGGGAAACACAAAAGCAAACATAGAAGGCTATGTGTGAATGATAGAAAAACATGTAAGAGTGAAAATACAGACTTGCTGAGAAATCAGATATTACTGTTTATTTTACTAGTGTTTTAATTGGAGGCACACTTAGTTTAATTCTATAAAATACCTTCTCATGATTGTCTTTCTTTCTAGCTGCTTATAGCTGCCTTACTTAATGGTAGCTAGTGACATTATAATGATTACTAATTAGTATAAGAAGAGCAGCTGAATTGAGGTCCCAAGAAGAGGAGGGAAAGAGTAGTTTGTGTGGGGAAAATACTGCTTTAATGTAATAAACATGGATTATAATACTATAAGTATTTTCACTGAGATGCATCTGCATGTTTGATAGAGGGAAAATGAAGATGGAAGCTGCAAAGCTATAGCCCAAAGAGATGAAAATATATTGTTTTCTTATAAAGTAACTAAACCATTTAATTATTCAGTCAGTTATCCACTAATGAGTTGAGGCTTCTAACATTTTTTTTCTATTTTCTTTTCTAATAATTAACTGATTACAACTTTCAGTAATATCCTTAAACCACCAGTGAATCAGCCCATTGTAGCTGCTTAATAGTATTTCAAAAATAGACAAAAATAGACTATATATGTATAGTTTCTTTTAATTAGCAGTATAACACATTTGATAACCTAGTTCATTCTGTGGAATACAATTTGCCTTGGTATAATATAGTCATTGAAGAGGTCATTAATATTCTAAAAGATATAATCCATATTTATATTTGTATTGTAATTGAGCTTCAGACAGAATTTCTCTTTATAATTGCTGTTGTCATTCTTAGTATTTCCTCATGATGGAGCCATTTGCATTACCAATTCTGTCAGCAAATAGCAAATAAAAGTTCCTTGCCCTGAGTGTTACTTTTAGACCTTTTACATACTTGTGTCGAAACATATTTCAGTTAAATTGCACAGCAAGCATATTTTGGATGCACATTAGCAAGCAAAACAACTATTACTGGATGCTTTAAAATCGAACGCAAGGTTTATAAGGTATGTAAGTTATTATATGCAGAGTTTAATTATATTCTGTGTTTATTGTGCTAAACCATCGGGGATCCTGGGAATTAACATTTTACAAATGGAGTTCTTGAATCATTGAATGAAAAAATATTTTTTTGTCCAAAAATTTTATTAATATTTTCTTCATACAGGAAAACTAAGCCATAACTGATGCAACGTATATGTAATTACCTACCTACCTACCTACCTACCTACCTACCTACCTACCTACCTACCTACCTATCCATCTATCTATCCATCTATCTATCTACTCACGTGATCAGTTCCTTTTTGAGATCTCTTGAATGGACCTTGGGTTTTGGACTAGGTTCTGAGATGTCTGAAGATTTTTTTTCCTCCAGGCTTTCAAGACAGATTGCAGGATCTTTCTGAAATAATAGAAGAGACGGTTATTTTGAAGAACTGCTATCTTTTAATCCATTTTCCCCCAACCTGATGCCACCCAGAAGTTGTGAACTACACAGTTTCAGTTACCTAATTCACTCAACTAACTTAGGGTAAATAGAAACTGTTGAAAAGAAACAGTTTTTAGTTTAGTGGTATTTCACACAAATCTTTATAAATGTTGTAGGAAAATGCATGGAAATTTTACTTTTTCGTGTGTAGTCATATGTACTCATTGAAACACATTGTTTGTTAGGTCTCAGGGGGAAATTGTACAAATTGTTCACAATTATAAACCCAAACAGAAGTTAGTCAAAATAAAGGAATGTCTGATTTTATAAGCTGATTCTTGGTTTGTGGTAAACCATGATGTGGTTTATTTGGGTTTGGTTTAACAAGGTATCTGATTGCAGCCAGGGTCATTCAATTTCTATGTTATATGTTGCATGCCACTATGATTTGTTCCTCAAACTATGGCTTAACAAGTCATATGAAACTAACCATACTGTTTGGACAGAAAAAGTAATCAGCATGTTCACCATGCTGAAGTAGTTCAATACCAAATAATAATGTCATGATCACCTTATTTCATCTGTCATCTTAGATCAAAGTCTGGACTCAGAGTTTGTTGTATCTACTCAAATGCAAGAGACAGCTATTGGAAATAAGTTTATTAATGTGACCTTTTCTGTATGCTTGTACAATCTGTCTTCAAAACCAGAAAACTAGAGGCAAACCACATTATTTAATACAAAGGTATATTAGACAGTGGTAAGGTCTAGAAAACTAGCATGAAGTAAACTACAAATATGAGTTGTTTGTTTGTTTTTTCGTTTAATTAACTTCTCCCTATTCTGTTTCTAAGTGATCTGTTGGGCTGTCTGTATGTGTGAGCATTATTTGGGAAGCTGAGTTACATAGTTCTTAGGATCCTTGCCAGCCTTCCATATTCCTACCCATTCAGGAGGAGGGTGGGGGGAATCAAATGAAATTCCATTAATGTACAGATGGACATTTATATTGATTTTTGCAAAGACCAGAACATAATGACAACACAAATAACAGATAATAGCATCTGGCACTTTTAACATTTTAAGCCCTGAAATCTTTGGAAAACTGACAGTTGAACTAAACTAAAAGCTCCAGTTATTTCTCAGTTTTTTTGCTTCCTTTTAAAAAGAATATCAGCTTTTTCCAATTCAGAATTTTATTATTTATTTATTTATTTTTGAGGAGGACATTTGGACAGATAGGCTATTTCTTTGTTAGGAAAAAACATTCTAGAAATGACCTTCAAGTTGACAATCAGTTCTATCTGTTTGTGTGTGTGTGTGTGTGTGTGTGTGTGTGTGTGTGTGTGTATTAAACTAGACATAATAATGATTACTTACTGCATCTAATATAGTACCTTTATAGTATGTTTTTGACCTAAGAGTCTTAGTTTTTGACCTAAGATATTTTCATTTATAACCAATATTATTTGGATCTAATACATTTTAGACATTAATCAGACACAAAATTATTTAGATGAAAGGATACATATTTTGTCTCTTCCTTCCTGTATTCTCAAGGCCCCTTTGGAGAATTATTTTGGTTCATGCATGACCCATGTATACTACCATGCTTTTATCTTTATATTATAAATGACAGTATAAACATTTCTATTTGATGAATGAAGGCAAATAAATGTGTCCCAGGATAAAGTTGCAGGATTCAATCTGGATCTGGAACCAGAGGTTTAGTCTCCTGGACTTTTGGACTCGTGCTGGAACCCATCCTCCAGACTGGTGAGAGAGAAATTCCCTGAGGATGGGCTCCAGCACGAGTCCAAAAGGTCTGAAAATTAAACCTCTGGTCCCAGTGATCGACCCAGATTGGATTCTGCATCTTTATTTGAGTGTTTTATATAAACATTTAGTTTCAGTTTACAATCATTCTCAGCTGTTCCAGCTGCAGAAAATATTACTTACTCTAGATTCATCCTTGAAGATAGTGATAAATATTATCAGAAAGACTCATAGGGTCATAGAATTAATATGGCCGTAAGCAATTTAGCTCAATTTCTGCTTAGTGCTTAACAGTTCTTACCATTGGTAATTTCCTCTTAATATTCACCCTTAGTTTTAATTTATATTCTTTTGTCTTTTTCCAGCTTCCAGTTTGAGTCAAGAACAGATATGTTCCATCTTATAACACATAACATCATATCACAGCTTTTCAGGTATTTGTATACCATTGGCATATTTATTTTAATCTTTTGGAAATGAAATGTGTACCATTCCTGATAAGTAGTGGTTTCCAGATCCCTTACTATTTTGATATATCTTTTCTGAACTTGTTTTAGCTTCTCCATATTTCTTTTAAACTGCATGAGATAATATCTCTGATGATCTGGATATAATACTTCAATCAATACAGCCCAATATTCAGTTGTCTTTTTAACTGATGCCTTATAATGTTTCTTCATGTTTTGCTAATGGTCCACTAGTTCCTTTACTTCTTTTAGACAAACACTCCTGACAAGTCAGCTTATGAAAATTCTATAGTTATATGTTTGATTGTCTTCCTAGTCAGAAGCATTGCTTAGTGGGCCTAGTATTGAAGCCTGTCAAGATAATTTGGACTGTGGTTGCATCTAAGGAATTAGCCTGCCTCCAAGCCTGGTGTCACCCACAATTTTGATAAGCACCTTTCCTATCCCATCTTGTAAGGATACTTATAAAGAAGCTCAATGGTACCTGACCATTGATTGAACCATAATATTTATTTCCATGATAATGGAGAATCACTTAATGTACGCTCTTTGTATTTGGTTGTTTAGACTGCAGAATTATCTAAGTCAGATGTATTCATCTTGTCATTAAGATAAAGAGAGGCTATATCAAGAGATTACTTTACTAATATCAAATAAAGTAAATTTGCTACCTCTATCTCATTCATCTACCAAACTAATTTCTCTGTCATAAGAAGATAAAGATGTACTTGAGTAGAACCTGTACTTCTGAAACTGATGCTGGCTCTTGGTAATGGTACTGTTTTTTCCTAATTGTTCACAGAGATTATGTTTGATAATGTGTTCTAACAACTTGCCCAAACTAACTGATCTGTAGTCTCCCAGGGCCTTCTTTCTCCACCTTTTAAATACTGACATGATGTTTGCTGTTGTCAGCCATTCAGTCATGTTTGATCCTTGGCCACTCTATGGATCAACACTTTCCATGCCCCTCTGTCTTGCACCACTTCCTTCAGATCTGCCATGGTCATTCTGGTGTCATCCTTTATACTGTCTAGCCAACAGACATTAGGGTAATCCTCCTTTTTCCATTGATTGCTCCCAGCATGATTGACTTTTTGAGTGAGTTAGTTAGCATGACATGAACAAAGTATGACAGACTCTGTTTGGAGATTTTGGCTTCAAGAAATATTTTTGATGAGGTTTGGTCTAACACTTCTTTATTTGTTATTTTTGCAGTCCATGGGATGTGTAATAGTTGCCTCCAGCAACACAGTTCAAAGGTGTCCACCCTTCTCCTATCTGCCTTTTTCAGAGTCCAAGTTTCTGCAGCCATAATTAGCCATTGGAAAAATTATTGTGTTAACTAATTTGCATTTGATGGTGAGGCTGAAGTCTTTTCTCTTCCAGATGTTAATCATGCCAGACATTACAGTTCTTCCAAGTACTATATGCCTTCTGATCTTAGGGCTGCAGTCATAACTTTGGTCAATTTTAGAGTCCAGGAAGATGAATTCCTTTACTGTTTCGATGGTCTCATTGTTGATCTGCACTCTGACCTTTGTGTTCTCTGCATCTGTCATTAACTTTGTTTTCTTGATGATAAGGTGCAATCCAATTTTTTCACTTCAACCTTTGACTCTCAGGATTCACACTCCAGATCCTACTAGCTTTCCATGAACAATGTTGTATGATCTGCATATCAGAGGTTGTTGATATTTCTATCACCAATTTTAACCCCAATGTTTGATTCCTCCAAACGTACATTTCTCATTACTATTTTTGTGCACATGTTCAGGTGAGAGGACCCAACCATGCTAAGTGACTTCTTCAATTCTGAACCATTTTGCATCTCTACATATCATTCTTAACAGTGGCTACCTGATCAAGATTACAATGACTGCATGAGATGGATGTTGTGTGGTGTTATTCCCAGTTCTTTGCGGCAGTTCCAGAGTTTGCCGTGGTCAACATAGTTGATAACATAGTTGATAGCTGGCTTTTATGTAGTCAATGAAATACACGTAGAGATCTTTTTGGTATTCCTTTGCTTTTTCCATTATCCAGTGTAGATTGGCAATAGGATCACGTGTTCCTTTTCCTTTCTGAAATCCTGCTTATACATAGGCAGTTCTCTGTTGGCATTTGGATTCAAATATTGCTGGATTATCTGCAGGATAATTTTATTCACATGTGGTATCAAGGCTATAGTTTGGTGAATGGAACAGTCTTTCATTTCACCTTTCTTTGGTATGGGGATAAATACCCTTTCCATTCTTTTGGCCACCGACCAGACTTCCATACATTTTGGCAAAGTGTTGGCAGAGATCTCAGCACCTCTGCAGGAATTCCATCAACTCCTGAAGCTTTGTGGTTAGACAACTGGTTGAATGCCCACATACTTCCTCCTCCAAGATATCTGGTTCCATTTCTGGTAGGTCATTTTTCCCCTTATGGCTTGCCTTGTTTTTTGTTTGTGTAAAGTTGTTCTGCATATTCCCACCATCTTTCTTTTATTGCTGATTTGCTGACCTTTCTTTAATTTCCGCTTTTTCCTGGTGATGTACATCATTTGTTCCTGATTTCAGAATCTCATTTTTCAGGCCCTCCTACCCCTCATTTACCTGCTTATTTTTTTAATCAGTTTTAAGCCATAGTGTGCTGTGCACCTTTCCTTTCAGTTCATTAAAAGCTGATTTCTTCAAGTCCAAGGCACATGACTGATTTCACCCAGCTTTTCTTTCCATGATT